TCGTTGCTTACAGATATACATTAAATTTCTTTCTGTATCATACCATTCCAACTGTCCACCTACAACAGTGGCTGCATCAACATGCTAAATATATCCGTAATTTAAATATTACAAACATAATTATCTACAATTATACTATACACAAATGTAATTAAAAGACGCGAGCAGTGTACTTCCAAAAAATATGGAAGAAGGGGTTATGGTTTACCGTATGATAGTGTTTGGTGGTTTCATATTTCTCATGTATAACGTATAATTAATATTTTAATATCACATGTATTTTATCATTTTTTTTATAATTTTGATCTTTTTATTAGCGGCTGAGCTCAAGTTAAGGATCTGAGGGCCCATTTTATGTAAATTTTTGTAGTACAAATATTTTTTACGGAAGTCTGAAATATTTGCACATAAACTATGACTCCCATAATAATAATAGTGACCCTCTGTCCTCTCTCTAACAAGGTTTTTCAATGCTAGGATCGGTGTTTAAAATATTGGTGGGTGGTTAGATTTATTATTATCTGCACTTTCTATATAAATTGTCTCAATACACCACTGGCTGTACATATATCAATACAGACAGACGCTTTCAATAGGAAAGCGTTCCTACATAGGGTGCCTGCGGTAATTAATTAAAGTGGTACGCTAAAGTGTGTGTTTAAAAAATAAATAAAAAGGGACTCCGTCCGTCTGCGACCCCCCCCCCTTCTCTTCATCAATTTGAACAATGGTTATTACAGTAATTGGTATAATATAATAATGCAGAAATTTATCGAAACACAGAAGAAAACGCACAAACATGTACAAGTATAAAAACACGCGTTGCAGTTGCTTAATCTTTTGTGCGCATGTATATTATTATTGTTATTCCTATTATATTTACATATTATTATTACTCATGTAAATGTTTACATAGATCGTACGCACACGTGTCGCATACATAAAACACTTTTGTCATATTATTATATTACGTATCTAGAAAAAACCTTGAATATATGATTCTTTTTGAAAAATGAAACTTGGGGAGATCCGAGTGCACTTTTTTTTCCATAAAATCCATAAGTCTTAGACTAATAATGTGTAAGAAAAATAAATATACGTTTCAATATCCAATTTAAATTTGTAACCCAACAAGAAATTTAGTAATTAAATATAATGGACTATACTAGGAACATGTTTATAGAAGGGCTGTAACATCCTCCCTCTTCGAAGATTCTAGGAAATAGTGTGCTGATTTTAAATAAAATTATAGAATAGTTTCTGAGGCGTTGACCCGGTATTTATTAAAAATAACTGTCAGCCACACCCCGGCAAAAAAATCTCTAGATATGCACCTGAATCTATGATAAATCCGAAATATTTAGTATTTTAATTTGAATGAAGTATTAAAATCCGAAATGTCTAAAATCTTTGATTTTACTATATTTTTTAGATTCGGAGTAGTAAACAAGTTTTCGAACAGAAAATGTGCTCCAATCAAACAACGACAAGGAACATTTTTTGTTGTATTTTGGATCTCGATTATGAATAAAAAAAGTTGTGTTTTGATCTTCCAACTTGTTTTCATAATAAATTAAGTAAACCAGAAAAAACATAGAATATATGAGAAAGTTTACACGTTACTGAATTACTTTACAAGTGTAGACAAATATACAAATAAAGTTTACCAAAAGATTTAACCTAAAACACCAAATACTTCAATAATACCGTTTTTGTTTTCCAATATTGTGCGTCGTAAACACGTGCGGATCGTACGCGCGCGTGTACTTGGCCGTCGTCGTCGTGTGGTCACTGGGACGTGTATACGAACTTAGAAAAAGGTATCGAAAAAGTACAATATATTTTCGTCTCTTGTCATGATGGTCTTACGAATATTTGTCTTGGTTTTATTTAAGTATTTTCTTTGTCTTCAACGACGTCAACTAAATACTAAAATAATACGAATACAATATTATAACTGTATGTGGTGCTGTGGCGCGACGACTACAAAAAAAAAAAAAAAACAATAAAAAAAAATACAACGCTTTTAATAGCACGTGCACCCAAAGAAAATAGTATAGGATTAAAAACAAAAAACTGTGTATAAAAACACGCACCCTGTACCTATTTTGTATTGTATTCTTTTTTTGTTTGCGTGTATAGGTATTTTAAATACAATAACGTTGACAAATATTTTCGGGATGTACGCAGCAATACAATATTATAAATCATTGGTAGGTACATGCGCACATATACTATTATTATTATACTCGTACTTTTTTAAATAATTTACTTACGACGCAATTGTTTTGCTATATTACGTGTATAACACTTTCACAAAGAGCGTTGTTATATGATATTATTGTCCCTTTACGCGCGCACGGACTCTACGATAATTATTTATTTTTTTTTTTTTTAAATATTACTATAATATTATATTATACAACAACGACGACGCCAACCAACGTGTACCATAAAATAAGTTCTTCTTTTGGTCAATAGAAGAAAAAAAAATGGAAAAAACATTGTATCACACGAACTGTGGTAATATTTGTTGTTTGCGTGATCATAGAATAGAACATAATATATTTCCATATTTTTATTATTATTATAAAACGTGAAATGCGAATCGTGCGCGCGGTGCGAATTTTGTATTCTACACTTGGTCGCCGGATAAAGTGCTACACTAGTGTCCCTTCGTGACGGACTTGAACAATTCGTTTCACAAAATATGGTCATAATAATGATATAATTTACAACGACAATACACTATAATACATTAATTTAATTTATTATTTATGATAAAATGATAATAAAATTTCCACGGTGGCGCTCATGTGATAGTAATGACGATGGTAATTTTAAAATGCTTTATCGCTGCGTCAACCCCCCCCCCTCCAAGAATAAAACCAAGTACAGAAATGCATCTTTCTCGAAATTTTATCACACATACTGTTTTGCAAATGTTATAGAATTTCAGACACACTATGTATTATTGGATTAACCATTAACACGGTCAAAAGAAATTAGTTAAGTAACCACTAGAAAATCAGGAATCAATTTTTAAAAAAAAATTCAAATCATTGCTAATAGAAATCGATTCTCAGTGAACTTCGATTAAAAGTGTTTTAATAAAAGTTAATTAAAAATTATATTGATTTGTAACTAAAAAAAATAAATTACGACTGTCTGTGTTTTTTCCTCTCGAACGTTCGAGCATTTTAACGAAGTCAAAGTAATTGTATCCACATTAAACAATGATCATAACATAAGAACTAAAAAAACTCACAATATTTAAAAGGTCTATAAATAACTAAACAAAAATATCAGATTTAATATTGAAACTTGTTCCACGTTTAAAATGTACTTATATATATACGTATTAGTATCTAATGACAATAAATTGCAGTTATATACGATGATTTCTAACTGAAAATTACAAAGGAAATCAAAAAAAATATCTCCTTAATGTACCAAATAGATAACAAAAACTACCATAAATCACCTTTGCACGAATTCGATAATCAGATCAAGTTTTCTCGTAGAAAAGTCAGACAGAAAAAATAAATAAAAATATATAAATTTAAAAAAAAACTACCATGTCAAATATTCGTTATTTATATAGTTCCAATAAAAAAATTACTTATGGTGAATTTTAAATCAAATATTCAAAATATTTCAATAGCCAAAAAACTTTGATCTACATAAAACCTAAAACGAATTTGGAAATGTATAACATATATTAAGTATATTAATATGTCATATTATTTAGTATAGAGACATTACTTTTTACATTATCAATAGCTCTTTATGGAAATAAGCCAAAACGATATGTATATCATTTTTTTTTTTTTTTTTTTTTAATAAACAAATATGAAAAAATGTGAAGAAAATAATATAATAAACAACATGAATGTTGGAAAATATATCGGTCGTTAGAATCAATTACATTAGATCTCTGTATTTAATTTAATCTGAGTAACACGAATTATCTTTTGGAGACTTGGAGCAACTTCAATGCCTACTCAATCAAACTGAAACCTTGTTTCAACCATCTGAGTAATAATTTATCAGTAAATGCTTAATTTTATATAGATCGCTTTGAGAACCTCTGTGATAGACCTTATACTAAAATTTAATTTTATATTATTTAGTTAGTATCGTCAAGACACTATACATATTAACTGTGTACCATGATTATTATTGTTATCATTAAAATTATATGGTATCTGTATATGGAGCCAATCGGATGATTCCATATTTACGTCTGTAGGCTCAAGTGTTTGAGAACGTTACGAGAACGCCCACATGCAATTACTGTTTCAGTTTATAACTAACAGGTAACATAGAAAAATTACGTTACTTAGAATAAAAATTGTGTCATTAAGGTTTAAATTAGAGTTTAAATGCAAAATATGAATGTGGACAATATTTTCGAGGGCTGTACGTAGGTGTTTTTCTAAAAAGTTACAACTCTGATTTGGTTGTTTTTTTTTTTTTTTAATAGCTGTAACATTTTTGTTACACGACAATTTTTTTCAGAAAAAAATCTACATACAGCTCTCGAAAGTATTCTCCAATTAAAATTGTGTTCTGCGGATTTGAACTCTAATTTTAATGTAAACGCCACAATTACGTTCTAAGTGACATAATTTCGCTATGTCACCCGTTAAACAGAGACGGTAGGATACGGTATTGCGGCGCCTTCTAAATACGCGGGGTAATGGTGGTAATAATAGTATAGTGCAGCAATGATGATGATGATAATAATAATAATAATAACAATAAAACTGTAATGGTCGTAACGAGACCGCGCGTAAAGGTACGCGCGTACCTGTGCACGCGACTGACCGGACAGCACGACGCGCAACACCGCCCAGCTGCCGTCGTCGCTTCGATGACGGACGTCTCTCCTGCGTGGACGGCTGCCAACGGTGTCGGTGATGAACGCAAATAGCCCGGGCCACAGCCACCGCCGCCCATAGTCCAGGTCGGCCAAAAATCCGGTACCGGACACGACGGCGTTCAGTGTTCTTCTTTATCGCTTTTCATTCGGCCCGTCGCCGTCTACACCCGCCGACTATACGGGACCGCAAAACTACTACAACCGACGTTATTATAATCTAACCTATAGACACCGACACCGGCCATGGACCCGGAAATGATAAGTGACCAGGTAAGCAGTATAATATTGTGTTCAATAAATTAAACATAAATTGTAATATTACGATAGTATTGTGCATTATATTATTGGTATTGTTACTTTACCGTTGCGAGAGTTGCGTATATAAACACTCGTATATTATAACGAGTCTCCGCGAAGATTGGCCTGGTTGGGGGCTAGTAAGACCTTAGGATTTTCGGGGTGCGATCGCACCCCGAACCCTGACTTAAAAATTATAACAAAGCGGCTTTATTAAAGCGGTATTTGAATTGTTCGATCAGTGACGGGCTGGTGACAGATCGGCCCACGGACATTAAAAAATAGAATGGCCCAATTTTTCGTTGCAACCAAAAATGTTCAAATTTATATGGATTAAATTTGTTTGTTGATTTTGTTCGAAAAAAGACACACAGTTTTGATACAATAAGGAGAGAAGATTCATCATAAATTGTATTAGGTAGTGAAAAAAATGTTAGAAATTAGTTGGAAAAATAAAAAAATTGATTGATTGATAATACAAGTGATATAATTCGCACCCAGGGAGATAAATCTCCTAAACTGTTAAGGCCTTTCCGCCACTGTATTCGAAAAACGATGGTAGTATAATAGCGGAATAGTGATGTTAACACAGATCCTCTATTACTTTTAAAAACCTTTAAAATTGTTCTCACCCCAGAACTTTTTCTCTTTAGTCTACCGCTGAGTATACCGACCCCGTCCGCCCGTCTAACCGCGCGAAATTTATTTTCGCATTTATATACGATATATATCATCAATGATTATAATATATGTACCACGTGATGTATCGACCTGCGTACAAAATATTATCTAACTTTTGTATATGCATATCCTACATACTATTATTGCACTACATAATAGATATCGAAAGGAACGGCTCGTGAAACGTCGACAATGGACTCCTGAAATATGCTTGTATGAATAATTACAATCGAAATACCGCGGCACCTAAACGTAGTGACAGTTTTGACTGGATCAAGTTCACGAGTTTTGATATTTCCTTTTTTTTTTTTTTTTTTTGTTCAAGTAAACATCACATTAAACAATTCCAGAAACTCTTCCTTGTCAGGGTAATTACATTAATAATATACATACCGAGAATGCTGACTTGCATAGGTATTTAGAATATCAGCTAAAATTTATCCGGAAGGATGATCACACCCCCCGAGTTATATAGATTGCTTGGTACGGTTTCCCTGCGGCGGTCACACCGGTTACCGCTTTTGGGTGCCACGGCCAACGTCAACGCTGTTGTATAGAAAACTGCCCAGAGAAAATAATATTTCTTTGTAATTGATAATAAAAAATAGATACGCAATATTTTTTACAATTTCGATTAAATCACACAAAAAACGCATTCTAGTCGTGGCTCGTGCACATATAGGTACCTACCATACGTATTATACATATTGTGTGCGCAAAACTCATAAATATATTCGTCACGAGCAATAAAAATAAATACACGTACATAATAAATGACGTATCCGGTATTATATTTTTTTAAACTGATACTATTTTTAATCTGTATCCATTAATTTGGCAAACGTAACGAAATCGTTTGGTTTTGTATGGGTGTGTGTGTGTGTGTGTGTAATCTTAACTTTTGAATAACACGCGCCGGGAATGCGGTTTACGGGAAAACTCGCAACATTGAAATATTCGTCCGAAAAAACACTATTATTTTAACGAATATCTCGACTAGTTCTTACGGTGTAAGAATATATTATAAAAGTGTATAATATTGATTGCAATAACCTTTTTTTTTTCATTTTTTTAAATTAATACAAAATAGGTGAATATAATATAATTTAAAATTGAACTCGAGATTGACTAGGTATATATTTAGACTGTAGTAAATGTGTCGAATAAATGGGTAGTATATTATACATATCATCAAAATAAATTTCTGAAATTATTGAAATCTTAAAATTTAGTATTATATATTTTTAACTAAACCAAAAAAAAAATTTCCTTTTCCTATAAAAACTTGAATTAAACATTATACAAATCAGTAAATATACGGTTTACAATAGTTTTGGCCTTAAAGTTACATAAATATAAAACAAACCGATTTTTGAAATACACTTAAAATATGAAAAATATAATAATATATTAATCAATTATAAAATTTAATATTGGTATTAGTATATTATTATAGTTTTCTTTTATATTCGTAAGAAATTGATTAGGTAATAAACACATTTAATTGATAATACCTATGATACAATAATTTAGATATGTATATTTTGAAGTGAACACTGTACGTAACTGCTATTTATACATGCAGATTTTTTAAATAAAATTTGCAAACAATTTGTTTTAGATATATTAAAATATCATTATAAAGTAAAGAATTCTATACTTAGGTATTATGATCTTCGATTAATATTGATTCAACTGACGTTATCTTTATTGACAAGTTGACAACATATTATATTATATACTGTATAAAATACTACGTCAAAAATGTTTTATTTTCGTTTACGAATATTTTGTTTACGCTATTGAATATATATGCTCGGTTAAGTGTAAAGTTTTAAAAAACCATTTAGTTGTGCGTGATTTTTCAAAATTCTCGGTTGAACTGCACGATGGGGGATTAAAAGATGGGAGGAGTTGTATTAAAAAAAATGTACGATGTAGAGATTTAATAACACAGATATGTATAATATAATAAATATTATATAAATATAATATGTATAATATTGTATAATACAGAGTATGTAAAGTCGTTAAAACGTTTTACAACGTCAATTTAAAAACTATATCTCATTGGACATCAAGAGTCGTGTAATTTATATTCGTGTATACAGTGTGTATGTATACACGTAAAATCTATAAACGGTTTTAAATTTAATTTACAAACTATTATACAATCAGTTAAAAAGATAGTGATTTAAACATATTATATGAGGTCAATTTGCCAAAATTTGATCATATTGAATAAGATGCGGCTAAAATTGTTTGGCAACAAAATCCTTCAGTTATGGCGGGGGCATTGAACTCCTCAAAAAACTATGTAAAATACTATAAACTATGAAATGTTATTGTATCAAAAAAAAAAAAAAAAATACAATTTCTTAAACTATTCATCTGAAATAAAAATCACAATATAATGTTCTGTAGAGTGTAGCTGATCATTATTCATTCGACTTTATTATTAAATGTACATATAACTCATCGGTATTATTTTTCCAAACACATCGATCAAAATCATTTTCGTTTATAAAATGTTTAATGGTAGTAATTTGTATTTTTATCTGCGTCAATCCAATTCAATTATGGTATATCGTTTGATCCATAAACGTTAGATAATTGATATATAATGAAGGTTGCCCGAAACCAAGGGTGTTCATTCACTTACTGAAATACAAAGGAAGTTGAAAACTTTTTATACAATATTTCATCAACTATATTTACAAAACACGTAATATTAAATAACATATTAAATTAATCTTATTTTTTTAATAAAACCCTATTAATGTGTATTATACAATTATATGCTTTAATGATTTAGAGTAGGTATATAGAACTTAAAACAAATTTATACCTAAAGAAATATACCTATTTCTTATACCTACTAGTCATGATTTCACCGTTTTATAAAACCTTAAAAAGTATGTAATTTAATAAATCATATATATTATACGATATATTTTAAAAATATATGATGTTCTTCTCTAAATTGTTATATTGGATCAATTCACAATAATATTATTCGAATATTTAACAAATATTATAACTTAACAAGACGAAATTGGTTCTATACTGAACGAAAATGTTCTATGTCGTGCGTTTTTAAAACAAAAAATGCATGTGCACTGTACAGAATCCTTTGAATATTATCGTTGTTCTATAAATCTTATTGCTTTAATATAATTTATAGTTGTTAAGCATTTAAATATAATCGAAAACGTCTTAATATCAGCTGCCGAGTACTCTACAGTCGGCTAAACAAAACGATTTCGAAATTAAAAACACTAAACCTCGTACAATGCAAACTAATCTGCAACAGCCGTTGTATATAGCAACACAATAATATACAGAGGTGGCCAAAAGTCGCGCAACGCCTACCGTCTTGTATGGAATGCGCATTACGGCGCAGTTTCTCCCTTCACGTCGTTTCCGTTACGTAATATTGCAACTTTGGTCTCGTTATCTTGTTTACGTACAACAACAGCAAGGTTTATAAAAAAACGACATATTTAACATAAAACACAACAGTTTTTAAAAAAAAACTGTGTTACAAATTTGTTATGCGACTTTTGGCCACCTCTGTACTTTGTACGCGAGTTCAATGACCGAGTTTCCTTACTCGGTTTCCTCGTTTTCCCGTCGACTTAGCATATAGGCCATCTTATTTATCTTTCAGGGTGACTATTTCTCAACACACACACGCACGTACACCCCCGAGTTTCCCTCAGCATAGCCATGTCTTAATCAGTAGCGCGGCAATCATACATACAATATGTATTATATCAAACCCTAAGCAAAGTACCTATTGAAAAATTACCACTTCAATTCCCTTCCGACCTATAGGGCACAGGTTAAATTTATATAGTGATAACAGTGACTTTGTAAATTTCTTTATCGTGAATCAAAAATTTGATGATGGTCTCTCAAAATCAATATCAATTATCATTGTAATCACTTTATCAGTAATATAAAAATGACGCGTACTATACATCAGAATATGTTTCCTAATATGTTTGTGAACCTGAACCACACACAACACTGACAATATTGAGCCATAGCTTTCCCCCCAAAGCTTTTACTGAATAAAAATATCTTTTATGCTAACGGTTAAGTAAAATATTTATTCTTAAAGCTAAAATACCAACGTTTTCTACCATAAATTAAAATTGTTGATAAAAATATTATTGTTGTTTGATAAAATAGACTATCAAGTTATACATATTATGTTAAAACTATTTGTTTAACACCTTTTATCATCACTTGCTCATAACGTAGTTAGAGATATCTGAAGTTTCACGTGGTTCATAACATGTAAGTGATACACAAAGTGCATTTTAGTTATTTCTTCACTATATTATAAAATTTAGTTAAAAATGTAATCTATTGATAAAACCTATTCAAAAAAAGAAAATTTAGTTTTTATATCTTATGTTTTTGGAAAAATCTAAAAAATTTAAAAAAGTTCAAAAGTGGAAGTTCACCGGATGCCAATATAACCACACTATCTACACATACACCTACCGGATGTGATTTAATTCATTATCACAAATACTGCAATGTTATGAGAAGATATCCGTAAATCATTTTTATAATTTACATAGCTCATCTTGCCTTCCCTCTAGTTGCACCTGTGTAGTCCAGCTCTTTAACATTTTTTTAGAGCTGAGCAATAGTTTCTTAAGGAAAATGTCGTCGTTTATCGCGCCACCGTGCGTCTTTTCCGTTGGTGTTCACCCGGGATATTATTACACCGGAACACATTTTACGCGTCATTAAACGTCGCGACATCGATAGGAAAAAGAAAGGCAAGAATATATAGAAAGCAAGAAGGAAAAAAGATAATAAAAAAAAACACCGGGTTAGGATCGGAGACGAAACAGATGTCTCTTTACGTTAAATTCGGCCTAATTGAACGGAGTTTTTAATAAGGAAACTACGTCGTCTCGGCCGTTTAATCCTGAGACCGATGACGCGTGTACGCACGCGCACGAGTATAATATACCTAGATTGCGTGGACGTCTATGCGAATGAGGAGTTTTTCGCCAAGGGTCGTATACAGAGGGGAAAACCTTAAACCGATGTAAAACCCTTACCTATTTAAAAACAACAATCATACTTAAAACACGAGGTGAAGACCCGTGTTTATTTACATACATATTGAAATCGGTGGCGGAAGTAAATGAGGAGGGGGGAAGGTTAACCATCGTCGCCCAAAAACGATGAGAAAATGTTATACAAAGGACGAAAATAATAATGGAGGACAACGAGATTATTATTATCACCGATGGCGGTATCATTAAATTGGCTTTACGCGGCCATCGATTATCGAAGACTTATCGACGGTAATAAAATACCTCGTAAATCGAAACAAAAAGAAAATATATGAAAATAATATTAATCATAGTATTACATTGACAAAGTCGAAGACGATATTTCGTTAACGCATTTGGCATATTAACTCATTTTTTTAAAATAAATATAATATATACTTATATAATAATAAATTATATAAAGGGTGTAACGTAAACGTAACCTACTCCAACGGGTTTTGATCTATTTATTATTTAGCGTATGGTTTGTGATTTCATGCAATAGCCTAACGATAATAAGGTAACATAATACAAACAAGATAAAAAAAAACAAAAAATAAAATAAAATATATAATAATATGAATGACAGTGAGTAATAAATAATATTATTATTATTATATTAAGGCATCAAATCAGTGTATTTGGTATTTAGAGTTGGAGATCTAATTTCCCTAGCCATTCAATGAATGTGGATGGAGTTGTAAAACAATTGATTTTAGGTCCCTGATAGGAGCGGCTTGAGCTTTCAGAAACAATGTGGTTGATGGTCTGCTTCTCTGCACCGCAATCACATTCTGGTGAATTTTCTATGCCTCATTTATGCAAGGAATCTGCACACCTACCATGGGAAGTACGGATATTCGTAATTATCCATGTACTATTGTGGCTTATTAATGTAGTCTTTAATGTAATTAATTAAACTTTAACAAAAATTTAAAGGGGTTGGGGAGTTAATTTTTATAAACACTTTGCTTAGGCTTTGAAATATGCTCGTTACAACACTATATATATGTCCCAGAATTATATTCACTGTAATAAATAGACATAATGGAACAATTACTCATTGTATCCATGTATTCTGCATTCACGAATATATTATCATTCTCATATCTATAGTATATTTTATTGTTTTTTTTTTTTTTTTTTAATAGTTTTATTCTTCTGCTATAAAAATACATAATATTACGAGTATTGTCAATAATTTAATAGGATAATACTCAAGTAGTCATACTCGTTATTTTTTTATTGGCAATATTATTATTTCAATCTACTCATTCAGTATTCTGGTATTCAGTTGTTTTTCGATCGTATTAAAATACATTTTATCACGGGATAAATTATATATTAATACAAACAATTAAGTAAATGGATAAACACCCTTTACTTATTAATAATAATCAGTATACTAGGTCTGTAGTATTTTTATCGAAGTTTATGGAAATCTGAAGAAAAAAAAATTGTAAATGAACAACAAAACAACATGTGGAAAAGATGTATAAATAAGAATGTCTGCCGAATTCAGCGATGTTAATTAAAATAATAAATATATATGAATTCAAAAACTCAACAGTTTTAATACAAACATAGAAAATATGTTTATACCCCAATGCTAAAATTAACAGAACAAAATTAACGAAAAGTATAAATTTACCTAACGTAATTTCATGAATTGGGCAATTCCGCTGATAGGGTGTAACATATTATGTAATATATTTATTTAAACAAAACATTGTAGGCATTTTAGATGCGGAAATTAACATTTTAATTTAAAATCGAACTGTTGTCAGTATTAGGTCAGGCCATAGCCTGATTAGCCTTACCCGTAGTTTCGCCTATTCATGGGATATTCGAGTCAAACGTTTATTTTGGATACGTGGAGGATAATAAGGACAATAAGGCACCCATCATATATTTGATAATATTGGACAAATATTGCAATCATAATATAATATAATAACCAACACTATCTATTATACGTTAGCATCAATAACAATTTTCAACAGATACACCACCGTTTAGTTGGATTTTGTTAGGCAATAACGTTATATTACAATTTCCAACGAGAAAAAATATAATACTTTTGTAGCGTTTTTGCATAGGGATTATGATTGATAGGTATTCGATTCGTACGCCTTTGTCCGATCTAAGTACTTGTAGGTCTAATATAATATGATAGCATAATATAATACATAATTTTCGTCGATTACTGTCGATAAATGTTATAGTTAGTCGCACAAAAAAAAAAAAACAAAATAAATATTACATATTACTGTGTGTGTGTGTGTGTGTGTGTGTGTGTGCGCGCGTGCGTGCGTGTGTGTGTGTGTGTGTGTGTGTGTGTGCGCGCGTGCGTGTGTGTGCGTGTATTGTACAATAAGTCGAAGAAAGACGTATATAATATATATACGATGAAAACTCGTAGACAAATATAATATTATTATATTATACGAGTATATATACAAAAAAAATTCCCTAACAGTGGGTTTCACGAAGGACCGGTGAAAGAGACGACCCAACGACGACGAAAAGAGCGAAGAGAGAACATTTGCGGTACAATATTTAAAGGGACAAAGGCGGTTTGTGTCCAAGCCAAATTCGCACAATAAAACTGGCATTAGTCCAAGTCTCGAGCTTCGGCCGCTAAAACTTCCCCAGGCGTCTAATTATAAAACACCGGCCAACGCTGCCGTGTAAGCATACAACAAGGGGTCTCCGGGGTAGAGGTATAGGTAGCGAATTTTAAGGAGAATTTTTCTACTGAGAGGCGCTGTTTTCAATTTAAAACGTTCTTGATGTACGAAACATAAGAATATGTTGCTGCGAAAAAAAATATGACACGATCCAAAGATTTTTGAATTTAAAAAAAAATCTACATTAAACTCAATTTTTTTTTTTACCGCAAAGTACGATTTATAATGAACCTCCTGTTTAATTTTCAAGCATTTCTATTTGGTCTACCAATTTTATCCACATATCGAATAAAAATTACATAAAAAACTGCCAAAATTAAAATTACTATAAGTAGCTCAAAAATGGCTAAAATGCTTTTAACATTTTATTGCGACTAGAGAAGGTAAACATAAGTTTTTGGTCCAAATATTTGATATCAAAATCGTATACTACGAATATTCTTAATTGAATCACAACAAAAAAAACAATATTGAAAATAATATATTTCATAAATATTGTCACGTTTTTCGCAACTATTATTAAAATCGCCGGAAAAAATGACGTCCTTAAAGTACCACTCAGATAAAATTTTCTTTCGGGTAAGGTACACACTTAAAAATCGGAGCAAGATTTAAAAAAAAACATCATTTTAAAACTAATTCATTCTGCTTCATTCATTCTAACTCACTCTGTTCAAAATCTAAAAAATACTAATTCGCATAATTACATATTTAGAATATCGATCGGCGCAGTTAATGTAGGTATACCTTTTATTTTTTTTTATCCCATAATTTTAAATACTGAGTGGAGCGAGAAATGTATTGGTATTACAATGTTGTTTATTATTTTTTTTTTTTTTTATCAAACAACTTGTGAACAACTTTACTATCAATAATTTTGCTCCAATTTACAATGAAAGCGCTTTTCCTGAAAGGAAATTTGACTGGGATAGTATTGTAAGGAGATCATTGCTAATATACATAATATAATGATTTGATTTATTTTGTATTTTTCATAAATAGTAGAAAAAATTTGTCGTTTATAAAAATCCATAAGAAAAATACCTACATTTTCGTTTCATATTATATTTATAAGTAGCCCGGCGTATTGGCTCATAGAACAGTCTTCATTTATGATTTCTTAACAGTTGAATTTATATTTTTTAAAATTAAGAATTAAAAAAAATAAAAACATTTCCTTTTTCCCCTTTTTTCGTGTTTTTATGGCATTTTATAGCTTATTTTAAGATTTTTAGTTCATAATATAGCGCATATTTTAAGATTTATTAGATCATATTATATTTCAGTTATATTTCAGTTACTTTCAGTAGGTACTATAAAATCTGAGCCCTACTTATAATATAAGAATCTACTGTTGGGACTTAATATTCATTCACAATGGGATATTCGTAAAATATTCTCGAATTGAAAGAGACTTAACTGAAAAATTAGTTTTCGTCCGACGTCATCGTCGCTCGATGAGCTGCATTAGAATAAATCACGACTTTTTCAAAAATAGTTTCATTGATTCTATACCTACTAAAAAGTGAACTACGAAACTCAAAATTCAAAGTATAATAAAATGGGCGTTCAAATCGAAATAAATAATACTAATTATCATTATAATAAAGTTATTCAGTTAAAATAAAAAGAAATGAAAAGACAAAGAGGTTTCATTAGGAGGCCCGCGCCATTGCACCGGGCATGTTTAAGATATTATTATTTATTGACATTTATGTAATGTTTTGTTGTGTATATATATGTGTGTTTTTTTATCATAGTGAAATAACGAAGACAAAACTCTCAAACGTAAAAAATAGAGACGCTCGAGTGTAAAAATAATTGGAGGGGAAATGTTGCATTTGTGAATAATTATTGAAGTTTTCTTTTCACCTCGAAGAATTAACTTTAAATTCAAAGTCATTATGTCGCCATCCATCCTCTTTTTTTTTTATAAAAGAGAATATTTGCTCTCTTCTTGTCACCATTAAATAGTTCTTTCAGTGTTTTTTTTTTCATTCCCCGTGAACTATAGCTGCAGGTGTATATTATAATGTAGCACGTGTCTGTCGGGACGCGTCTCCCAATTTGTCGTAGTCCGAGATTGATTGCACGTGGGAATAACTGTAGGTATGCCGGTTGTGGCGCCAATTTTCTTCGGCTATCACCGTCATCACGTTTTTCTCGTACGACGCATTTTATTTCCATCGCTCTTCCGACACCGTTAAAACCACGGTTGTTGCTCACACATTGATCAAATTGTATTCCCGGTTGGGAATATCTCGGATCTGATATTATTATTTAAATGTTATATAAGTATATTCCTAACCGAAAACATGACAATATGATTAGGACTTACTTTAAACGAGGCTTTCTGTTCGCGATAATACGAAGCGAATGTCAAGCTTATAGGTAATAGATTTCCATTTAACAATTTCAGACTCTGAGTAAACAAAGAAATGCCTTGGTTTTACTACAATATATATGTGGTTTTTGTTGTGTCTACAAAAAAATTTTCTACCCGAAATCTTACTCCAATCAAAAACTTAAAAATGACTTTCTTGGAGAATTTTTGATCGCTTTGCTGCTTTGAGGAGGCAATTGTTTGTTTTGTTTTGTTGTTTTTTTTTTTTGTTTTTTTTAGTAGTTTTCATAATAAATGGGAAAAACACAATTTTTGGGATAATTTTTATTGATTTCTTAGTTACCTTGGTAACAAAGGGAAAAGAAAAATACTACTAATTACATTCTTATAAGACCCTTTCTCACCAAAACCCGATAAATTCCATTTAGAAGAAACTATGGTTATCGTAATTGGAAGATTAATCTCGGTTTATAAGCGAGTGAATTTCACCACGATAACTGCGTTTTTAATAAGCCTAGGTTATGTACGCGAATTAAGTCTTATAAATTTTTTTCTGAGTCCACCAAGTTCTCATTATTTGGCATAACAGCTAGCACTTTAAGTCAAAATTTGTATAGAAATCAACTAAAACCAGTTTAAAATTTAAACTGGAGGGGTATGTAATAAATTACATATCTAATCTATAACAAATATTGACATAGCTTGTAAAGAATACACTAGATAGTGTTAATGGCCTTACCAAAAGTGAGAAGGTTCGAGCTTCACTTATCACCCGTTCATTCAGTATCAAAAATGTAAATTCCTTAAAAGCTCAAAAGTGGCTCAACAAATTTGGCAATGATACCGTAAAAAGTAAATCAAAAAGGCAACAAAAAAGGTTACTTGTGCTTTTTCGATTAAACTATTTTTTCTGATAGAAAACATCATCCATGTCTATTATAAAATAATGAAATAATGAAAACTATACATTTTTCTACTTTTTTCTCACTTAAGTACTTTTTATTTAAAAAAATGGCATCAAAAATTTAAAAAAAAAAACGTCTTTGAAGTACAATCTAGACAACTTGAGCTTTCAGAAAAGTTGCTACACGTAAAAATCAGAGCAAGTTTACTTATTAATATATATAAATTATATAAATTAAATTACTCTACATTATTTTATCTTACCTCTCTGCTTCCCTCCTAAAACAGTGGCACACCCGTCAACACGTTGGCATATTTAGTTACCCTGTTATTTGTTATTGGCGTTTCAGTTTTATTTTCTACCACATTTTAAACACGTGTATATGAGTGGAGGGATTTGAGGATTTGAACACCCATTGATTTTATTTTGCATCATTACAGTTATTCAGTTCATCTGTAGTCTTTATTCAGTAATATTTCAGACTACTGAAGTATAAAAATGATTAAAAAATTATAATAATTTGTGTTCTTGGCATTTGATCGATTATACGTGTTTTATAATCATATTAGTACATGTTTACTACACATACAAATAATGAGTTTAATAATAAATCATAATGAAACATTACTATATAATATTGCTATCATCACGTTTTTGTATTTATGAACAATACATGTAAATATAATACTATTTACTAATAATTAATAAGAATTTTAGATTCTGAGGGAAGAAGTTTATGGTTTTACAAAGATGTTTATTTTTTTTTTTTTATATATATTCTTTGGACATTTTTTCTACCAGAGATCTTGCTCCAATTTTTATATGTAGCATATTTTTTGAAAATAAATCAGTGTGGGGAGGTACTTTAGGGAAATCAGTTTTCGATATTCTCAACAAATTTGAAAACCCGAAAAAAACGGAGGAAAAACGGGATCCATTTTAATTTTGGAATTGGAATAATTGGAATTTTACCATAATATGACATTTTTACAAAGCAGCATTATCAACTAATCTCCGCTTAGAATCAGTTTTTCGTTAGTAATAGTTTATCGTTGCTTACAAGTGTACATTAAATTACTTATTATAGTGGCTGCACCCGACCCCATTATCCTTTATGTATATATTTTTGTGCTACCACCCCCTCCCCCTCCATAAAGAAATAGTGCGCACGGGCTTGTTTTCAATATTCGATGACTAAACAAGATTGGTAATAATATTGATATGATGTTATAAGTGTGAACTGTTCAGTAGTTGATCTTATCCGTTTAGTATTACGTTCGTATTGTATGATTGAAATAAACTAAATATTTTTCAACTATGGTATTCTGACTAGTACAAATTTGTATAGATTTTTAAAACAATTTTAAACTTTTTTTTTTCCATTATATCTTATCTATATAAAATCGATGTATTAATATATTAAATAGTAACATATATTCAAATCCAGTGAGAGCGATCGTTCCTATCGCCTCCTCTCCTAAAATACGCCTCTGTATCAACAGTATTAGCCTTTGTTTTTTTTTACAAAGATATAGATTGAAATTGTATAAACAGAAAAATATTAAATTTATATAATAAAGTTACAATGTTTTAAAGCAACAAACTTAACGTTTATTCAAAATTACATACTATACAACTATTATACCTACCTAAGTTAACCTAATATTTATACCAATATTAGTCACTAATTAGATATATTTGGATCAGTCAAACTAGAAATCGATTTAGTTGTGCATTTTAAATTTAAAAAACAATAATAATAAAACAAAATCTATTTTTACAATCTTATGAATCATATACATTATGTCCGCATTTGACATAAATACTATTTATACAGATTTTTAAGCACGAGCATTAATTTAAAAACCCTTAATCGTTTTTATCATGTAGGTTCCATGAATAATTTATGGGTTGGATTACACGTAGTCTTATACTAATAAATATTTTATTTTCAAACAAATTTTATTTTTATTGCATTTTATTGCAAATCGAAATTGTGCATGAGTAATATGAATACAGAATAATGAATATACATATAATATTTACAGATCCCAAGATAAGGAGAAGAAGAGGAGGTATACCCATATCATTTATGAATGTTTTTTTTTTTTTTTAGGAAGATTATTCATTACATGATTATCATAAAATATTTAGATCCTGGCACTCTTATCGTTACTTAAGTATTAGTTTACATACCTATCATATATAAACGCATATAATATAATATGTTACGTACTTTCTGCGTGGTTAATGTGTATATATATATATATAAACTTTGTCATTGCAAAAAAAGAAAAATTTACAATAAGATGAATTTGAATTCAATGAGAAACTGAGAAACCAATACAGGTGCAAAGGATCTATTCCGGCGTATATTATTTTAAATAAAACTAATGTACGACGCAAGCTTGGAATTATTAGAAAATAATGTGGATATAGGAATAGGTGTGCGAGAAAAAGTTTAAGTTCACTAAAAAGGTTTTATAAAAAAAGACGTAATATCCCCGTAGCCATCTAAACAACTTAAAGTTCATTTAAATATATTAAAATAATAAAAAAAAAAATAAAAAAATACTCATATGAATTGGCACGGGTTTAATATAATTCAGAGTTACATATATATAAACAAATAAATAAATAATAGATACCTACGTAAATATACAAATACATCACAACTCATGAATTGAACAAATATCCATTTCATGCATTTTACGATAACGATGATATTAACAAAACTTTGAGTAATAGATAAGAAAACAGGCAGTAGTATGATAAAAGGAAAAGAATACAAAACTATGTATATGTCTATTGTTTATTTTCTGAATAATAAACCGTAGAAAATCTAGATTTAAAAGTTCAAAAAGTTTTAAAACAATTCACTTAATCTATTTAACAATTTTATTCTAAGTATCTAAGTGTAACTTTTTTCAAACTTTTGTAAATCTCTTAAAAGTGAAATATTTTATACCGATATAAAGATATACATGAGTTTATGTTGAAAATTAAATGTACAATCTAAATTTTATCTTTTTATACGAATACTTTTTATAAAAATCAATATTTTTTCATATTTAGTTAATTTTTTGATTTAAAAATGACATTAAAATTTATAATTATTAATTTGAACACTAAAATTCAAAAGTCAAATATTGTTAGTGACCAGACAACGCAAAACTATACCTCATACTTATAAATAGTTAGAACTGTATGTAATGATACACTTGTGTGTCCAATTGTGTTTAAAGCGATCCTAAATTCATCGAGTTTACATTACCTATCAAAATATACATAAAAAAAAAATAATGAAATCATCATATCATCATTCGTTATTAGTGGAGTAAATGATAGTTTTTAAAATATTAAACTGGGTATTGAAAAGAGACAGAAACAACACAGGATGTATAATGCTGTCAATAATAAAGTCTCCGGATCGGGAGCAAACACAAACAGCTGCAAAAATTCCCACAAGCTCATCAACTAAACAAATTATTAAATATTACTAATACATTTTTTGAGAAAAAACAGTTTTTTTTTATAAATCTTTGTACTTCTTTTTTTTCTCTTTTAATTTTCCGGTCCATTTGAAATATGGTTTTTCTATCTCCATTTTCCATCAATATTTCTTTCCTTTATTATTTGTTATTATTATTACATTACAAACAAATGCGCGTTTTAAATTAAGGATATAAATTCTCTTATTTTCTTATAAAAAGAAACCTTCAGAGTTTTAAACGACACAACAGTGTTTATTTGTAATTTTCAAATGCCAGCGCTGAAAATAATAATATGTCTAACCCAAACGTGAATGCCAAAAATACCGTAATCGGCAGCGTTCACACAGTTGCGCATCGTCGGCGACGATGAGCGAAAACAGTTGCATCGTGCAATAGATATATAATTTCTTAATAGACTCAAGTTCATACGAAATTAAAAATCGTATATTGCGCAATAACTTTTTACGTTTTTCTCTGTCTTGAAATAAACACCCACGTAAACGAACTCGTTAATATACAAACGATGAGATGGGACAAGGTGAACGCTATATAGGATCGGATTCACTCGACGAACACGTCTATTTATAGAGGTCTCGTAACCGTATCTACACAATATTTTATGTTCTTAGTCTCAGTAGCTTGTTCGCCTCCGTACCGTGTGCTACGCTAAAAATACGATGAACAACTGTGCCGGTGGAACGATTTTATTATAATATTACATATTGCAAGACATTGGATTGTTTCGAGGTAATTTTTTGCGATTTCGCGCGCAATGATGGATATTATATAATAGCGCCGTAGCCAGGGGAGGGCAGCACGTGACACACCCACCCCCCCCCTCCTCGAAATCATTTGTTTATTAATTATTTCGATTATTTTATAATACTTAAAAATAGCAGATAATTATAAGATTATTAGTGTCTTCTCTCTCCCTGAAATTTTTTTTGTCTTAAATGATTGTTTAATATAATTTGATTTAAATGAGAATAGGAAGGGTTCGTGTATATATAGGGAGACGAAATTCGAACAGTTTTAGTTGTGTACTGAATGCAATTTACTTAATATAAACGCATTCTGAATTTTATCGTTGAATTATTACAATCATTACACATTTTGAAGCGACAAAAAGGACTGGAAAAACAAATATTACTGAGCTACTGCTACTTTGAAGTCCATATGTATACATACCGTTTGTCTTGAATAAATATTGTTATCATTATATTATAAAAATAATTAAATTTGTTGAATTCACAATTGAATTTATGTTTTCAGAGCATAAGTGAAAAAATAACTAATCAATTATTCAAACACTAAAACGAAATGGAACAGTTCGAGCAACTGTTGACATGTGCAATATGTTTGGATAGGTACAGAAATCCAAAATTGTTACCATGTCAACATTCGTTTTGTATGGAACCATGTATGGATGGTTTAGTGGACTATGTGCGAAGACAGGTAGTCAAATTTCTATTATTATAATTTTAAACTGTTTAATAATTTCAATAGTTTAATTTGTTGTTTTAATTCCGAAGGTAAAATGTCCAGAATGCCGTGCAGAACATCGGATACCGTACAACGGCGTTCAAGGATATCCAACAAATGTTACTTTACAGCGTTTTTTAGAACTGCATATAGAAATTACTGGGGAGTTACCAGATCCAACAAGTGGACAAATAATGAAACGATGTGGCGTATGTTCAGAAAAGGCGTATGTGACACCGTGTGTTCATTGCGAAAAAGATGTATGTTCAGACTGCAAAGGTGCTCATATGGACATATTGAGAAGAGAAATTACTCGAATTAACAACCAAGTAAAATATTATCAGTTCGTTTGGAATTATTAAGTTTTGAACATAAATTAAATGGTTTACAGGTAAGGCGGGCATTACATAGATTATCAGATATGCTTGCTGGTGTGGAAAAGAATATGTTGACTTTGCAAAACAACTGTACTTCTGTTACCGAAGAAGTAGACGAAATCAATCGCAGATTAGCTAAAGCTTTAAAAGATCGTACCGATCATCTAAGAGGAGAAATCGATCGATACTTAACAACGGAATTAAAAAATCTATGCAATCTTAAAGAGAATTTGGAAATCGAAATATCAAACATCCAAAGTAATTGTGATCTAGCAGATAAACACATGCAATCGGATGATGTGGAATGGGAAGATAATGAACTTATGGATGCTAAGGAAATATTTTTGAAAACTGTAGAATTTATTCGAAATTTTGAAACGGAAATTGGAGATTATAGTAGGAGAGCTAAATTTTTTATGGCGCACGATCCAAATCAATTAGTCATGCATGTTGCTAGTTATGGTGAACTTACTATTCAAGCTCCACATCAACCATTCAATTCAAGTTCTAATTCTCTCCAGGCACCAAGTCCTGGTGGCCTCATGCGATCCAAAAGTGATCACAGGCTAGCTTCACAGTATCGACAGGATGAAAGAAATACGTATGAACCAGGTGGTGAAAATAGTGGTAGAGTATCACCGCTAGGTGGTAGAAAATTTGGTGAAAGATATCCAAGTCGGTACACGCGTGGTGATAGGAATGACTACGATGCAGACTCGACACACGATAATGAAAATAGAAGTTCAGCTAGATCTAGAATCAGATCTAGATTAGGAAGACATGGCCATGAAAATACAGATTCGGATACGGATTCCAGATCTGTGCGTTTCTCAGAGTCCAATACGGTACACCGTGAACGAGAGCGGGTTTTGGACACAGAAGACGTGGCTAAAGGTCCTTTAAGTGGTATCACAAGATTGTATGATTCACCTAGAGTAATGAAAAGATTATTAGAAAACGAAAACAAAGATAAAAAAGCAGAAGCTGTGCCTAAGCCCCAATCCCAGCCAATTCAACCGCCGAAAAAAATAACTCCACAACAAACACCACAACGACAATTGAGCGAAGACGATGAAATCGCGAGAATAAAACGACAAAACAAAACGGCATCGACATCATCGGACACTGAAAGAAGAGACAGAGTTAGTACAATTAAGCGAGATGACTCGAGAGATTCGAATAGATCGAATACACCTTCAGAAACTATACGAAAGACCCCTGTACCAGAACCATTACCAGTAAGATTAAAATTAGTATATACAATTACATTTTATTGTAATTTATTAGATAAATTATTTCGATATATAGGTAGATGTCATAGAATCATCCGAAAGTGAATCCGAAGAAGATTCGGTTGATGTAGTAGAATCAATAAGAACTACACCAGCTAAAACTACATTTCCTCCGTCCACGTCGTCTACAGTAACAGATTCGAGACGATCTTCCACGGCATCAGATAAATTGACATCAAAAGGTAATTAATTTCATTTGTAGTATAAATGTATATTTAAATTAAATTTTAAATAACTAACATAACGAGTATCTGTATGCTCCCTAGGGAATACTAGACTAAAATCAACTAGATCTGAGAGTATCGATAGTTCCGGTTCTTCTGAACCTCCTGGGACACCAGTTCGCAGAAATGCCGGAAATACATACCCACCAGAAGATGTGAAACAATCACCGGTCAGTACAAGTTCTGGAAGTACTACTCCACGTGCTCGATTTTCTTCAGTCTCTTCAAAAAGAGATTCAACTACGCCGACCAATTCTCGAAGTTACAATGTTACGGGTAATATACTAAAATACTTAACAATTACGATAATTTGTATGGTTTTTTATTTTTGGAAATACCGTGCATAATGTAATGCATATTGTAATGCTGTAATAAGTAAATTAACCTATTCTTATACCTAAGTACGATTTTTTAATGTATCATTTTAAAAATTACCTCATTATTTATTTTATTTTTTTATAAATATTAAAACTTCAATGTTAAATTATATATTGTGTATATAATTACTACCTACATGAATAATATTATTATTTTCTATGTAAAACTGTAGATATTATGCATAACTTAAACAATTTTTTAACCAACTTTTTACATTTTTATACTAAAATATATTATGTTTGATTTAAATAACAGTTTAATTTTAGTTTGATGCGTTATAATTTTAAATAAATTAGTCTAAAACTGAACATTGACTATAATATTAGTGATAATAAAATATATTTTGAATCGTAAATATTATTATTATTATTATTTATTTATTTTTTACTTTTTGCCAGATGCATCCTTACTATAATTTAAAAGTAGATTTTAATATAGGAATATTAGTTTGTTCAAAATTACTTCACAACAATAAATAAGTTTCTTAGAACCAGATTTCTAACCGGGTTAGAAAAATAAACATAATTAAATTAAATATGTTTTATTTTATTGCAGACAAAACATAATTCTTAGGTACACAATTTATAGGTAAACTTATGGATTTAGTAAATATTAACGGAACATAAACGTTAAACAAATAAATGTTATTTAACATTTTCAGAATAAAAGAAACACATTTTTAAAAACCTACCTATCACACATATATAATGCATATAAATACATAGGTACTTATATTACATGTTATTGTCATTTTTGCTATCTTATTGAACTAATACTTCCAAATAAAAATTTTTTTTTTTTTAATTGAACCCATAACATAATTATTAATAATAGGTACAAATTAACAGGTAAATTTTAACAGGTTAAAATAAATCGTATTTTAAATTAACAAATTGAATTATTCAGCAGTATCTAATTTACCTTACCACTAATAAAATATGTCACTAATTAAGTGAATGTTAAAAAAAACGTATTGTTTCTTTTCTAGGTAACGGTGAAGGTTCTTCGAAAAAAGAAGAAATCGAGGACGAGGAGGAAGAAGAAGAAGAAACGGAAACATCGTCCGAATCGTCTGAAACCGATTCGGACGAAGATTCGGAAGACGCAAAACCAAAAACACCGGTAACGAGAGGTATGGAAAAAACGGATATTGGACCTCTGCTGGCTAGAAGCGCTCAAGCCAGGGACAACGGGAGCGGCAGTAATAACAGCTCGAGGAGACCCAGCCTGCAAGAAGATAGTACATCTTACACTAGATCGCGGTGAGTTGCTTACGCGAAAGATGTCGATTGTTCGTGTAGTTGCGTGTATTCACAGTTAAAACGTATCGGTTTTGTTTTGAATTTCAGGTACGGCACTAGCAGCTATAAATCACCTGCATCGACATACCAGAGCCCCAGGGAAGCGGAATCTGCGGCCGCCAGTAGTGGCAGTAAGTACCTGAACAATACGACTCGGGCCGAACCCGCCCCGCGATTCACTAGCAGATTTCTAAAAAACAAAGCTATCCAAGAAGAGAATCCCAGCAAATCAAATTACAGCAATGACGGAAAATATACCAGCGCTTCAGACAAGGGGTTATTACGAAGTAGGACCAGTGCTAACCTAGAAGAAGAACTACAAGACGACACAAACGCCGCTCCTTACACGCCATATTCTAAAAACAATTACGGTTCGGATTTGTCTAGGAGTCGGTCCAGTCATACTTTAAAATCTCGGGAAACCTCGCCTGATAGGCCTGTAACGAATTCCTCAGGTACCTATAGTAACGACCGAACAACGACAAAAGTAAACAAAACAAGACACGTCTAATCTGTAAATTAATTCGTTTTATACCTAAATATCTAGGTGTATCCCACCGATTTAACAGTAAATATTTTAAAATAATATTATGACTGTATTGCTAACTCTAAAAATATTTTAATATACAGAGTGATTCATTAATTATCAACTAAAACTAATACATTTCGCACCCATTTTTGGACGATAAATTGATAACCCTTCCCTCCGATCTAAATTTTAAACTTTTATTACTCAAAAACGGTAAATCCAATATTCGTATCAAAAAGTATAGACGAAATATTATAATCTCTATTTGAAGGGGGTATAGTTTCCATTTGGAAATCAAACATGTATACTCGTTTAAAGTACAATAACGAGTAAGGTTAACAAATTGAAAATTGTATTAAAATAAAGCTTAAATGGTTCCAAAATAATTTTTAAAAAACAGAAATCAAATTCAGTATAATTCCTCCGAGAAAATCGTTGGTTCGTGGTAAATGGATCGCTCTGTATTATTGAAGTATACTGCGAATATATATGCACGCACTTTAACAATATTCTGAATCTTAAAAAAAAAAAACGTATTTTTGTATTATATCATAGACTCAAATGTAACATAGATGCGTATTCCGCACTCGGTATAGCGAATTCACTAGTGCCTATTACCTATTAACAATTGCCTATTACCTATTACCTGGAGTACATAATTATAAAGTGGATATTATGTATAACCGAATAGATGTTATCTATCCATCGTACAGAAAACCGATAAAAACCTGTACTTACAACACTCGGTATAATTGCATTATATATATATATCTATAATATGTAGTTTGACGTAATATATTATAACAAATTTATAATGAATTTTTTTTTTTTTAAATTGTCAGCAGGAACCGGCGAAAAAGACGGCGCTGCGCTGAGCTCTTGGGCCAGGTACCTGAAAAACAAATATGGGAATCGTGGCAAGGAAAACGCTGCCAAAGATAGCGGAGCTGCCGCTTCGGCTGCATCCAGCTCAACTTCTCGGCGACTTTCGCTTGGATTACCACTCCGATCAAACTCCACGGTCGTCGATAGTTCGGACGATGACCAAAAAAACATGCAACGCTCCCCCACCTCCCATACAATTATCGAAGCAGGTAAGTGACTTCAACGGAGGGTGAACAAATCTATTTTAATGTTTTACATTTATAACATTAAATACCTTTACCTTTACTTTATAATAATAATATTATTGTTGAACCGTTCTATAGGTATGCAGGGCGTAGGTTCTACCCCTAGAGTGCAGTACCTACAAAAACGACAATTGTTATTCAAAATTGGAGGCCGGGGGAGCGAGCCCGGATATTTCACGTGGCCGAGAGGCGTAGCCGTCGGCCCAGACAATCTAATTGTCGTAGCGGATTCATCAAACCACAGGATCCAAGTATGCACCTACTAACCATAATATTGTCATGTTGCCTATACTACATAAAATAATCGGATTCACACACGGAATGCATTATTTCACAAACAGGTTTTCGACAACTGCGGGACCATATTGAAAGACTTTGGGTCCTATGGAAACAGCGAAGGTGAATTCGACTGTCTGGCCGGAGTAGCTGTCAACCGGATTGGTCAGTACATCATTGCCGATCGATACAACCATAGAATACAAGTACGTCATTTATAAACGTATTACCAATTTGCAGGGGGCAGGCAAAGTAAAACGACATGTAATTTGTTTTTATTTAAAGGTACTGGACCCGTCTGGGAGATTTTTACGGTCGTTCGGAAGTCAAGGTTCGAGTGACGGCCGGTTCAACTATCCTTGGGGAATCACTACGGACGCCCTTGGGTTCATATATGTTTGTGACAAAGAAAATCACAGAATCCAGGTAGGTAATCAAAAAACGAAATAAAAACAAGAAATCCTAATGGAAAATTCTGAACTATCTATATTCCATTACAATGAAACAAAAATTTAAACTAGACATATCGCGCGGTATAGTCTACTCGAATTTTAACACTTTTATATATGTATTTAAATGATTACAAAATGTTCCGAACAATAGACAATGGACAAAAATTATTAAATGTGATATGTTATTATGTTCAACAGGTTTTTCAGTCAGATGGAACATTTGTGGGTAAATTTGGATCACATGGCAATAAAATCGGACAACTCGAACATCCACATTACATCGCGGTATCAAATACGAATAGGGTAATTGTCTCTGACTGCAACAATCATCGCATTCAGATATTCGACGTTAACGGCAGAGTGATCAGCTCATTTGGTACCGAGGGATCAGAAAACGGTCAATTTAAATTCCCCAAGTATGTATTGAATTCACAGTTCCTATAAATTGTTATATATGGTTAGGGTTTAGAGGCAAATCCGTAAAATTGTTTTCCCAAATCATCAAACCATTTTTTTTATCTACTACAATATACAAAGTTCAAATCTTACAGATTTAAAGTACCTATCCCTAGTTATTGGTATTTAATTATCGGCAATATTCATCTAAAAAAAAAGTTTCTGGTCATGCATTAAAGGTGGAAAACATGAGCTCTATAACAAAATTAAAATAGCACTTATGCAGTTAAAATTCCTAAAATATTCTCTATACATTTTTTTCATACGATTTTATCAGAAAATTTGTATTATTTAAAATACATCTAAAATAATTAGGTACATGATATACACGATGAACAAATGAATAATATAATTTTTCTTAATGAAACTATTAATTTTATAATTTTTATTGATTTAGTTTAATAAACATTAGTCAATTTGACATTGATTGATTGATTTATAAATATATTTAATTTAGCATTTCTTCTTTTATGCACTAGAAAAAAAAATTAGGTTTAATGTATTTTATGATTGCCGCTTTGATAAATGTTATTATTAAGAAATAAACTGTGAAAAAAAGCACGGAAAATCTCCCAAAAAGTAAAACAATTTTTTTAAATATCTCAAAGAGATAGATAGTAATATTTTTCTGGGTAAGCCAAATAAAATAATATAAATGTTTGAATACTACTAATACAAAGTTTTGATTTTAAAATAATTATGTTAATTTTCGGAGAAAAGTGGATAGGCACTACAAAGAGCATGTGTCAAAATGTCTCTTAAAAACTTAAATATTAAACAATGCCCATGTAACAAAATTACTGATTTGGCTTGTCGTAACATGAAATAAATTTCTTTCTAACTGGCCATTTTTTTTACAGCCACGTAAAACAAGTATGCAAATTCTAGGAGGTTTTTTGCTCTAATTATAATATAATTATGTCTTGGTGAAAAATAATAATAATTTTTATTAGCCATCTATAGATACATTTATACATCATTACAATAAAATAATGTCTAGTATAAATGTATAATGGCCCAACTCACCACTGAGGATAATCTCTTATTGGTGAAATTGGAGTGCTAATAATAAAATTAACAAATAATTAAAATAACATAGATAAAACAGTAATGTAGTAAACAGTAAACAGATGCTTTGTCAACATGTCATATTATGGTAAAATAATTAAATAGACGTTCTATATTTTCATTAAAAATAGTAGTTCAATATCATACCGATTTTCCTGTTTTTTCTACGTTTTTCTTGGTTTTCTTATGATTTTTCCCAGTTTTTCATGTTTACTTGGAAAACTCTTGGGAAAATCGAAAAATGACCTCCCTAATGTACCTCCCCAGTCCGATTTCCTTCAGAAACAGTGTGACGCTTAAAAATCAGAGAACAATTTCTGATAAAAGTTTGCATAACAAATCGAGGGGTATTTTTCGATTGAAATAGTCCGAGCGAGCGAAAGCTGGGTCTCTAGGTACACCTAAAATGCATTCATATTTATTTGTATATGCATGTTGTTTTTCCCTGTTTAGGTAAAAGGGAAAAAATGAATATAAACACTTTTTTTCGAAACACGGGTTTGAACTCGTGACCTCCAGGATGACAATATACATCTATAACCATTAGACTACGACAAACATATTTAAATATGACAATATATAGTTATATAACATAGCATATAATATCCGTTAAATATCAGAACTTCAAAAAGCTATAATTTCGAAATTATGTCAAGCCACTCAATTCTTACTTCACCATCGTTCTTTAATCGACAATATACATATGTTCAAAACCAAAAATTGGAAAATTAAATTTGTTCTACATATTTTTTTACACGAAGAATTTTCGTCAAAATTTAATATTAAAATCAATTTATAATAAAAATACTACACTAAACTCAACTTTTGTTTTGATCACAAAGTAAGATTTTTAATGAACCTCCTATTAAATTTTCACGCGTTTCTGTTTAGTCTTACAATTTTACAACAGAGTACCTAAGAAATAAAAATAACGTATAAAACGCGCAAAAGTAAAATGTTTATAAATAGCTCAAAAATGGCTTATATTTTTTGAAAATTTTATCGCGTCTAGAAAAAGTAAATATAAATTTTTATACAATTTTGAAGTCCATAAAATCAATACAAATATTTTTAACTGAATTTCAACTAAAATATTAAAATTTGTATAAAAGCCTAAAAATAGATAGAATATTTTGAAAATTTTACCACGTTTAGAAAAGGCTAAAGAAAGTTTTCTATCCTAATTTCAAGTGTTTACAAATTTTTTTAACTGAATTACAACATAACAAAATTGAAAAATAAAAAAAACATTATTTTCGTAAATGTCCTGTTATTTACATTTTATCATAGTTTTTCCCAAATATTATGAAAACCGCTTGGAAAATTTAAAAATAACCTCCTAAAAGTTCCATCTAGACAATATTTCCTTTCAGAAATGGTCCCGTGCGTAAATATCGGAGCTAGATATCTGGTATCTTTTTTGTACACAGTATAAAAAAAAAAAAAAATAATAAACATCTTTGTAAAATCAATACATTCTTCGCTACACTCTGAATCTCAAATAAGAAAATAATATTAGATATAATACTATTATAGATTAAGTATGGATAAAACCAATTCAACTAGAATCACATCATGTACAAGTGCTCTTCAATGTTAGGGATTTGATTTAACCATAATTTAACACATTTTTTGTATTGTGTGTAGGAATTAGAATTAAGATATGAGATAGGGTTTTGTTTTATTGTTTAATAGCTCAATACCCACCTGTGAAAAACGTAGACTTTATTTGAGCGCGTTCGGATAGTAGGGATTTCTAAATTAGAACCACGATATTTTAATTAGTCGATTAGAATAACATAAAACGTGTTAGATATATTATATTTTTTTATATAGACCGAACAAATCATTGCACATCGGTGGTAAAGTAATTTTTTTATAATTTGCCCATTCAAAATATGCCCGATTTCTACATACTTGGGTACTGATATGGTATAAAATGTATATAATTCAGGGGAGTGTTTTCGTTTCGAACGAAAACTCAATAAAATAAAATGTCCGCACGGATAATGAAATTGCAAATGATATACCTATACAATTATTCTTATTATTGGAACTAAACGAATTTTTCAGAGGTGTGGCCGTAGACGACCAAGGATACATACTGGTAGCAGATTCTGGCAACAACCGCATTCAGATATTCCATCCTGACTCAACGTTCCTGCGCGCGTTTGGCTGCTGGGGATCGGGTGACGGGGAATTCAAAGGACTGGAAGGTATCGCCGTAATGTCCAACGGAAACATATTGGTGTGCGACCGGGAAAACCACAGAGTTCAAGTTTTTTAGTCTTGCAGTACTAACGACGCGCGTTTACTCGTCTCTGCAGATACATATGTATGGGTACCATCCACATAACAATTTACTTAGTAAAAATTTACTATAGCGTACAACGGAATATTGTGTAAATAATGTTTTAGTGTCGACATTTTAGACCATTATTATATTATTACCTACCAACTATTGTTATAACTTCTTCATTTCGCTTTAAAAATTAATATCTATACTTAAAGAAATGCTGTTTTTTTTTAATTTCATTTTATAATAAACATTTACCTACTTATATATATATATATACATATATATAATGAATATTTACAATTAATTAGGTATTATTTTAATAAAATATCGTATGACTCACAAAACAATACCAATTATTACCTATTATTATTTACTGGATGTCGAATATTGCAGATGTGTGATGATGCTTTCAACATTCCACACAAACTTATTTGTTTACCAATAGTTATTTTTTTTACACTCTGAGCGTAGTGAGGAATGTTTAATTGACATTACTATGGGTGTGTTTTTATTTTTCGATCTGTCAATAAATCTCAGAATGAAATCTGTTTATTGTTAAAAGTTTCAAAACATTCTGCCGATTTATGAGGTATTTGTTACCATTTGAAATTGTCAAGTTTTGCTTAAGCTTTTACCTATTTGATTTTATGTGGATACTTATACATTTGTTTGGCCAAGCAAAAGTGTTCGAAATTTAAGAGGACATTCATCAAAAGCTGTACAACTATACCCACTTATATAACTAAGTAATTGTAAAAAAAAACAAGTTTAGCGTAATGTAAGTTGGTTTGTTTATATAATATTTTAAAGATCAAATTGTAATGCAAATCATAAAAACCACATTTCGTACCTAGTATTTTTATTTGAAAATTATAAGTACCTACTTATACTATACAAATAGTACAAGAAATTCCAGAATACAAAATAAATAATTAAGTAGGCGATTATTGCGATTATTTCAATAGGTAGGTACCTACTAAAAATATATAGAGGACCACCTTTAGATTCTAGAAATGTAATTGGTCTTATTTTATACGTATAAAAAATTACATGAATCCTTGCAGAAACCTATAGAAATCCATAGAAACCTTGCACTTTGCAGCATGGACACTATTGAAAGATTAAAATGATAGTTTAGGTCTGGAAAATTGCCACAGGTCGCAACAATTTTTTTTTCTGTTGATCTAGTAAAAACATAACAAAGAAATAACGCTTCGTGAAGCAGTTAGGTACAAACTATTTTATTAGTAAAATAATATTTAAGTTTTTTGTGTAAAAAATTATAATAATTATAGATAGGTGCCTATTTCAAACCTGCATATACCTACAGTGCACATGTTTTAAAACTAATATTTAAATGTGCAATGTCATAATTCAACTAATATTGTTTGAATAAATAAATTGTGATTATTAAATTAAAGCAAATATTATAACATATACTTAATTTTAAAATATCTACCTTTATTATAATAATAAAATAATAAATTTTGATTAAGAATGATTGTATTAATATAGGTATGGTATATGTATTATTAATACATAGGTAATAGGTAGGTATATTATACAACAAATGGTTATACAATATACATATCTACCTATTATAATATAATAAACAGATACTGTAGATACAGTGTACCTATATATTATACTTTGTTTCATAAAGTGGATTAATGAAACAATTTTACATTGTAAAAAGTCCATTTAGTGAAAAAATGTCCACATCGTGAACTTTTCAAACAGGTACCTAGGCATTTCTCTAAGTCAAATTTGTCTAAACAAATATTTTGCATTTCATAAACTGGATAACTTTTCATGAAATTCATAATTTATAGGATGCAATTTATTTGCATATATATTTATTGCAATAGGTGCAAAATAATATAAATAGGTATATTATATAGCTATATAAGTGCCAAGTGGTAGTGAAAACTTGAGTGTATATAATGGTTACAATGTTACCACAAATCATTAGTACTATGTAACCAATTGATTTGTTGAAACACTAATACATTTAGATACCTATGCTTACTAGACAAATTAAAAATAACGTTTTGAGTCAAAATATTATCTACTTACCTACTACATAATATAGGTACCTATTACCTACCTATTTAGAAATAAAATGTTTGTAGATTATAATTTACTATTATTAATTAGCATTATATTTATAATAGGTATATTTAAGTAGGTACCTAATATATTTACCTACAATAATATTGTAGAAGTGGAGAAGACAAACATATTTATTAATTTTGAAACAAGTTTTACTTGGTTATTGAAAATATTTAGTTGGTATTTTAGAAATATTTTGTTTTTAAGGTAATTTAAAATATATTTAAGATGATATTCCTTCACTAATTTGTTGATTAGGTATATTACCTATTATACCGGGTTTCAGAAAGTGATCATTATATACATTAAAATACTCGTAATATACATAAATACATAAATAGGTGGCAGTATTTAATGAACTAAAATTGTGTGATAGGTATGTAACTAATCCCCTACTCCACAAACAAATTCTTGGATACAATGCTGTTACCTTTAGAATATATTATTCCCTGTAGTAGACCTAAGAAATATTAAAAAAAAAAAAACAATATCATTTATATGATGTTTGGTAATGTAGGTACCTAACTATAGTGTAAAATATTTGCACTACCAAATCGATCAAAAAAATCAAAAATATAAAAATATCTACTGTAGGTACCAATTAAAATCACATTTTACAAATATTAAGATTGTAAAAAATACAAAAATTATTTTGAGAAATAAAAAGTCAAGAGTCCTCGACAACTTTACATCATCATTCTAATCAAAATTATTTCTTGGTAATGTTTTTATTACATTTTAAAATAATTATTCTACTATATTTTTATAGTAAAGCAAGTATATATTTACAAGTTATAATTTTCATTCAAAAATAATAAATTCTTTAGAAATAGCTCAATACATAAGCCAAAAACAACTTTAAGTTTTCATTGAAGAGCTTATAATACATATATTCGTGTGTATGTAGAAAATAATATAAATAAAATAGTAAAATACTTTAATTAAAATGAGCCAGCAGTGTATGAAAATATTAAGCAATGTTGTTTTTAAAATTTATTATTATCTACCTAACTTAGTATATTAATATTATACCTAATACATAACAAATACATACGATTGCTAAAAATTTAAACCTATTTATGAAATGTTCATTATTTATTGATTACCATAAATAAACATCTATACCTAATATTTATTGCTACATAAATCTACATAATATTTATAACTATTAATAAGATACCAAATTTATAATTATTTAATAATTAAATAACAATATTATTAAAAATTCAACTGCAGTTAAAACAATGTATACGGTATAGGTACCTAATATAATTCAAAGAACTGGAAAAAAAAATAATATCTTATGGATTTAAGCAAAACAAAATAACTCAACTAACTTAACTAAAAGTGTTATTGAGATCAGAGGATAATTTAATAAGTTATTTGCATTTTTTTTTTTATTATTTTATGATTTGGGTTATGTATTCTGCTCCTTGGTCTTTCTCTCCCAATATATCCTTTAGCATTTCCTTCAATCATTGTCTTTAGTAATTTTTTGTGTCTAAATATGTGCCCTATCATCTTATCTCTTCTGGATTGAATATATTTTCATAACTGTCATTTTTCCTTTATCATATTTAATGTTCCTTTGCAACCTTGTCAGTCCCAAGGATCTTAATCATTTTACTAAAGCACTACATCTCAAAAGTTTTCAGACCACTTTTTACCATTGAGATAATTATACTAGGTTTCCCACAAAAAGAACACCACATTTCATAAGTATATTTTGAGGAATTATTCCTTTCTTATTAGCAAGGTGACATTATTTGTACCTAGTTAATATGTGGCTTTTATCTTGAAAGGCTCTTTTCACCTAAGTTATCCTACAAAGTACCTATATTTGTTTTGCTATGACTATCTTCTGTTAAACTACTAAATACATAACATTTTGTCCTTGTTTTATCAGTTCATTGTCTGTATTTATGTTAAGTCGAATAAGATCAGTTTCAGTTTCTGTGTATAACAACTTTTATTTTATTTTTGTTCAATTGAATTATTTACTAACTTTTTAGTATTCTCTCTATGGCTTATATCATATTAATCATTTATATCAGTGGCTGGCAACCATTTTGGAATCCCAGACTACATTTAAATATTAAAAACATTTCATGGGCTAGATCAAACAAAAATACATATGATATCTAGTCTTATTTTACAAATGTTTAATAAGTTACATAAAATTGTTGAAACTACAATTGCCCAATGGTAAAATATTTTATGACTAATGCGATTTCTGTTTATAGTTCATTATTAACAAATCAAAATTAAATAAAGTAAATAAATATACAAACAAATGTATGTATATATAAAAGTTAAATAAATGAATCAACGTGTCGCCTGGAGTGCTATAAGTGTATTATACAACCGGTTTCGAACTAAAAATTCATCTCCCGGTATATAACAGTCAAAATGTAAAACGCCACTCATATTTGACCATTTTAATAATTTTGTTTTTACTTTATTTTATTATAAATTAAAATTACTTGTGTCCGTTCTAAACATATGGCTATATATTATATATATTATTAAATATCTATAATAAAGCTATATTAAATTTAATTTCATAATTTTAAACCTAATTATTCAATTATTATAGGTATAATATACCTGTATACCTGGTTTATATACACATTATACACTAATTTTATTAAACAATAGTTGCTTAGTTTAGTTATTTTTAAGTTTAATTTGTTTATACAATTAATTTATAAATTCCATACACCAATTAAAGTCAATTTATTTTAAATAAACTTGAATCTAAAAATACAGTAGAATACCAATTCCAATATCATATAATTATACTAATTACAACAATTACATCATTAAAATATTAAATAACCAAACAAATTCTAAAGACCATGAACAGTAGATACTTTCTATAAAAATACATAAATAAATTATTCTACATCCATGCATTTAATATAATTTACTATATTTCTATTTGTTGACTGTTCTGTAAATTGAACAAAAAGGACATTTTTAAATCTCATCAATTTTAATAATAATAATAATAATAATAATAATAATAAACCACCAATATATTATAAGTGAATTTCTAACAAATGGTAAGTTAATCGGTAAGATTTTAAATTTTTTTTGGAGAGTAATAAATAGATTTTAAAATATTAAATATTAAATGTGATTGAAAACGGAGGTATAAAATAAATATTTGATACTGTAAAGTACATCTTAAATTATAGTACTGCATATTTGCATATAACTTAATAATAATTAATAAATTTTGATATGAATTATATATACATACATTTTAATCAACATCAGATTCTAAATAACATTATTGATGACATTTTACTGTTAAAAATAATTCTTAATTAAATAATAAAAAAAAAAAATATAGAGCACATTTAAACCTAAATTTTATGCAATTACAAAATATTAAGCTTGTACATTAAAATAAATGAGTATTGTTCAAGTTTTATCAATATACTCATGATTAATAATAATTTTGTAAATTGTATATTATTGTTTAAACATTTTGTACTATTGATTTTCATCCTCCTTATCTCCATTATGATCATCGCAGTTATTTTGAACAACATCATTGTGTCTATTAATTATATGTTGATCAGAGTTTAATGGTAGTGTTATTTCATTAGACTTAAAGTTATTTAATTTATTATCATTATCTTTGACAGTATCGCTATCTAAAATATCATCTGTTTGAGGGACTACTGTGGTTCTTATAATACTTTTAGGCTTGATATATATATTTGTTGGTGACAAGTTTGATGTATCATTGTCATTGATTTTGTTTTGTGGTTCTGTTTGAGGTTTGGGATTTTTCATTAGTTGCCATTGTGGTATACTGGAAGATGCAGGAGCTGGTGGAAATTGGAATCTAAAATGAAAAAAATAGTTTCATAAATCAAAGCCAATTAAGAGTTGAAAATCGTAATGGATACCTATTTAGAAGTAAACTTTTAATAGATTTCAGTTCAGCACGGACTAGATCGAGTTCTTTTTGTCTATTGTTTTGTTCAGTTGAATCGTCGGGCGTCATGTTTTTTTCTTCAATGAGCATTATACACCTTTGTATCAATAGTTCAACTATTTCTAAACGTTTTTCCACTGGTGACATTTTCATACCAAAAAGCCAGTTTTCTATGTATTTCTACCATAAACAAGTATAATATTTTATTTTTAATGGCTGCCCACATTTAATTTACTATGTTTATATACTTTGTATATCTGATAACCAATATAAACAGCAGTTGCCCCAATGGCTACTGATCCAGCAAGTCGTCTTAACCAGCCCCCAGAGCAATCAGAAACACCAGAAGTCTTTAAATAATTGATATCAGATAGGTCAGGTAACTAGAAAAAATAATCACAGATAAAATATTCATACAATAAAAGGCATTTAATAATAAATTGTGACCTACAGAACTATTTACATGAGAATATTTGGTATCAGTATACATTGCTGCTGCTTTTTGAAGTGATAATTGTATCTCGTGATCAGTTAATCCTCTGGAACGTAAAAAATTTACTTTTTTTTCAATAGGAGTGTTTCTTATTTTTTCAGCAGTCAAAAATTCTGTTGCTTTTGATACCTATTAAACAACAAGTAATCAATAATTTAATAATTATGAAAACAAACTTCCTTGCTCATTACTTTATTTTATTGTTAAACATCTTACCATATTTTTGCGAACACTGGGCTTGGCATCCTTTTTATTGGATACTGGATTGGATGAATTTATGTTTAAATTACTCGACTATATGACAAATCACAAATGTAAGTGTAAATATTAAAACCGTAAAATCATACACATAAAGACATAATACAATTCATGAAAAAATATATATTATATATTTATAACATACTGAAGTTTCGTTGTTTTCGGGATTTGGAGGTATATTATTAACAGCGACAGAATCGTTGATTTTCTTGTTTTTATCACTTTCTTTGGGCATTTTGCCAAAACACAGTGAACTTTTCAATGTTATTTCTTAAGAAATCCTGAAACAATAAAAAGAATTTGTATTAAGTAAAGAAGTTTACAAACATACATACAGCTACATAATTTTGTGGGTTCAATGAGTAACGTTCAATGCTTACTCAAAAGTTTATACTATGGATTTAACCAAGACGTAATTATAAAAATATTGCATACATAATGAGCTCTGCATAATAACAATGAAAGCTGCATACAAATTAAACCAGAGACTTTTACCAGATAGGTAAATTATGCTTTCAAGTCTTTAAAAATTACATTTGAATATTACAGAAAAAGTTCGTATTTTATTCACAAATACAAAACAAACTAGATACGTAGATATACAACACAGATTTACGAGTTCTCATAATATAGTTACCGTAATATTATTCCCAATAAAATGAAACATTGTCGTGCAGGATCACATTTTAAATAGGTATAAACATATTGGCCGCGATAATATTTTTGTAGAAATATGTTACAGAAAATAAAACCAATGATATTAACAACGCAAACTACAGTTTTTTAAATAAATACCCGTTCCGCCACCGAAACACAATAAGAATACGTATTTATTTAAAGTTGTTATCAGTCTACCAAATTTTTACCGTAACGATTGATTTCAACCAAACATTTCTAATGAATAGATATTGACGCCCCGCTTAAGTTCGGGAATAACGGTAAATTTGACGGTACAAAGGGGTCAAGTTTTTAAAATGTCATGGGGACTCACTATTTTAGATACTCATACACAGTTTTACCAAACTCTTGCCATATATTCCTTAAAGCCTCGGTTCGTTAATCTCATGGGGGCTACAAACCCCGAGCCCCCCTATATGGCACTCCTGTAACGGTGTATAATAATTTATTATATTAGAAACAGAATAATGATAATATCGCAGTGATCTTGCGCGGACCAGCACAACATTTCATAGTCAGTGTCGTTCACCCCGTATAATCAGGGACAAGTAAAAAGTATCGGCAGCAGTTGCAATAGCAGCAAAACACAGCGAAATTCGCCGAGTTGTCGGACGATGCGCTGTCCGAGACACTGATCACGGACGGTTACCAGATGAACTCGACAGTGAGCTACGAATCGTATAGCAAGGTCCGAATGGCCCTAAAGTAGTTACAAGGCGACAAGACGACAAGATTGACGTACAAGGTGACCGTAACCGGTAGTCGTACGTACGCGAATTTTGGCTCAGAAAGCTGGTGTTGTACGCGGTCCGGCACGCGCAAGTGGTCAGGACCCATCGGATGCATGCGACCCTATCCACCGTGCATGTGATCATGGACTACTGGCGAGTCCAGCGACCTGCCAAATCATCTGCAAAACACCAAGAGTATGCCGCAATGGCGGACGTACTCGTTTTTCAAGTGAGCCCAAATTCTGAACAAAGTCCGAATAAGCGACCGGCCAGTCTTACAAATTTGGGAATAGGCATGGGGGTATTAGAACGGGGATGGGTTGTTCAAGACCTTATAATAAAGGTCTTTTATTTTTTCTTAACCTCAAAAAACTTGAACAACGTCGTTTGAAATTAGATTTATACTTTGCGTATTAACTCGACTGTCCTGAAGTTCTTACGTCGTTTATATCCATCCATATACACCTACTCGTAACAAATAGTCAACAAATACATTTTATCGAAACACTGAAGTGACCAAATATGCTAGCAATATTTTTATATTTATATTTTTAAACGAACCGGTTATTTTGTTAGCTTTAAAATTTACGTGACTTGTGCTACTATTGCTTTAACGTCCTCATATATATATGTCTTAAACTTAGAAAAAAGTATATTTTTTTTACAATTTTATAAGGCAAATTTTTAATTTTATTTCAAAGACATATCGTACGATCTGAAAGTTTACGACGTGTGCGCATTTGGCGTAGTGCAATACGTGATGCAGGCTAACACAATTCCGTATCAGTACTACAACTAACAGAGATCGTAGCCAATCAAGTGGCCAATGAATTGGCGAAACCCAAAAAAACCGGTGTCCCCAGATACGCTGAGATTAATCTCGTAATTATTTTCTGGTACAAAGGCGTCTCTGTGGGGAGGGGGTGCTGGAGGCAATAGGTAATTTAATGTATATCTGTAAGCAACGATTAACCATTGCTAACAAAAAAACGATTCTGAACGGAATTAGATTGATAGTGTTACTTTGTCAACAACATATATATCATATGTGGTAAAATATTTACTTATGTATTATATAGTTCCTTCAATATTATTTGTTTAATATTGTACCTATTTTCCTGTTTTTCCCATTTATTAGGAAAATTCCTGGGAAAATAAAAAAATAACCTCCCTAAATTACCTTCTTAGTCATATTTACTTTTAGAAAAAATGCTGTCATTCAATCATTATAAATCGGAGCAAAATTGCTAATAGAAAAATTATCCACAGAAAAAAAATACCGTAATATTTTACTGATATATTACTTCAATTTTCCTGCTTTTTTCCCATTTTTTTCCCACTTGATAAATACATAATATTATACATCATGCATAATATAATGTTTTCCATGTAATGTATGTATAACGTGTATAAAAAATAATTAAACTTTTATTAATTTACCAATTATTTTCGTTTTTTTTTTTTTTAATTTCAATGATAAACTAATTTAAAGTATGAACTCGGAGACTGGGGGGTCCAGACGACTCGGACCCCCCCCCCTCCCCGTAAATCCGCTATTGTGACAATCATTAATATATACAGACGCTCCTGGCCTAGTAATTTATATTCCCCTCAGATAGTGTACACTGTACATAAATACTTCGGGAGGAAGATAGTAAATAATCTGAGTCAGGGACGTATATTATAGAATATTATGATGATCAAATAATTCAACAAATAACAGCCATTTTAAAACCGTAAAATTATTAGGTATTAACAGGATTAAGTAAGATACAAAATACTTTCAGTTTATTTAATTTTCATAATTTGTTTGATGAATATGTTTTTATAAGACTTATTAACAAATAATTTATTTTAATTCACAATAAATAAAACAGTTATAATTGTAGCAACCTAAGGTTTTTAAAAATAAAAATAAAAATGCATGTAATAATAATTAATAATTATAATAAATAAACGTAAATGTTTTAAATTAAACATCATTAATAAATATAACTAATATCAGATATCTATCCAGAAGTTTAATAAATGTTATAAATAAAAACAACTAACACAAACAACCTTTTTGGGTTTTTCAATATTTAAATTATTTACATACTAAATAATGTCGTAAGTATCTTGTAGGTGCCTATATATTTCAACGAAAAAAAGAATAAAGATGGAACTTGATAAGAGATCTTTAATACATGTATTATATTGCTAAACACTGAATATTGATATATATTCATAGGCAACCGAAGAAAGGGAAGAAGACGCATTTGCCCCTACATAACCTGCAAGTATACACAACTGCTTACGCGTGATTTTTATTTTAACGTTTCATATAAACCGAACGTAATTTTATTTCACGAATTAATTTTTAAATTGTGAACAAATATCAACGTTTAATTGTTACAGGATACTTTAAGAACAGATATCACAAAAAGGGCAAAACGAGTCAAATTAAAAACTATACATGGATAAAACAATAAAACCAACAATATACTTGATAACTCACGAGAATACACGAATTTTGTTGATCATTTATAAATACATAAATAAAAAGGACTGACATAATTCGCACGTGGGTGCGTCCACTTTTGTAGGTGGGAAGTTGGGAAGATAGACTACAGACGAGAATTCAGTGTATATTTGTACGCAACTATAATCCATTGCTAATGAAAAACTATTCTAAGCAAAATTCAGTTGATAGTGTCGCTTTGTCAACAATATATATGTTTTATTATGACAAAATGATTACAACAATATGTACTTCCATGACAAAACAATTTGTTGCTTTATGAATTATATTGATTGTTGGTGATAAAGATAAAATAAAAAAAGATAGATACAAAACAAAATATAAATATTATTACATTATTATTGGTATTTATGCTTAGATAACGTTAGTGAGAGGGATGATAATTTGTCTACTATTTCTTTTAACATGGCTAAGACATATCAGCTAGTGCTCAATAAAATAGCAATTATAAAAAAAATAAATTGATTATGTAGGTAACCACATAATATAAGAATACACTCAAATCTAAAATATCAAAGTATAATTATAATAAAAAGAAAAACTAATAACAGACATATTTTAGCCACCTGCAAGCCACTGCTGTGGGAAGAAAATTAGTAAGATGTAATAAGTAATGTACCTAATTTAGTTTATATGTGTACACAACGATAAATTATTGTAAACGAAAAACGATTCTGAGTAAAATTTGATTAAACATGTTTTGATAACATGTACTATTATACTCTTAAATATAGAATTAAAATCAAATAAATTTTTAGATAAATGTTTTAACTGAGATTTTATTGCTGAGGTACTATTTATTTTGCTACAAAATCGAATTTTTATTTATAACATGGCACATCAGAATAAGTGTGCCAAGTAAATATAATTTTACAGCCTACTTTTTCTGTGTTTAATACATTTTCTCAACATTTACATATGAAGTGAAAAAAAATATAAAATAATTAATGTTTTATAACAAAACAACTATTAACTTTACATTTCAAGAAATGTATACAAACATATTTAAATCAATATAAATATGCTATAATGAAATTAGAAAAAGGGTTTTATTAATTCAATACTGAAAAACTTAACTTAAAACTAAGTTATTCCTATAATAAATAAAAACAATAAATACATATTTTGTTAAAAATTAAAAATTACTCTTAAAATACCTATTTGAAAAATAAAAATATTATATAAATAACATAACACAAACATTATTTAAATGTTATTAAATATATTTTACTTAAATAACCATTAAAACAACAATACAAAAATGCTTATAATTACCTAAATTAAATATTACAAATTAAAATAAAAAATAATAATGTAATATACTTAGATATTCATAATTAGAATTAAATCTGTTTAGTAAATTAGTATAATTAGCAGGAAGACTTGCCAGTGTTGGTTATAATAAAATTCTAAAATACTCTATACAATTTTGTTTTGCATTATAGTATTCCAATTCGTATATATAAATAAATACATTTTTTTTTAAATTATTAACATATAAATTGATATCTTTTAGTTGCCTACTTCAATAAAATAGTTTATACTTACAAATAGTATTAATGCAAATATTCCCAAAGGCTGTAATCTTAAATTTAATTATAAATCGACCCAAATCAATCCACTTTCATCGGTATTAGTTTTATTTTTTTTGTTTAAATTCTTTTTGAAATCCTTGAACGTCATTGGTTTCTTCCGTTGTTTTGGTGGTTTTATTGGTTTTACAAATACTGGATTTGTAACTACATACGTTCTTTGTCTTTCCAGCTTTTTGTGTGGATATTTTGAATTGATTGCTGGCAATGGTGAATATTTTGGATAAACAGTTTGATTTTTTTCAGAAAATGTAACATGTTTTGGATGATTACCATTGGATAAATGTTTATTATTCGATTTAGGTCGGACTTTTGGAAGTTTAGTACTGCGATTATCACGATCAAACCAAAAAAACATTATTATTTACATCCAACATTGAATTTTTAATATAAGGTAATACTACTTTTAAGTAATGTTTTGTATTTATTTTAAAAATAAATAAAATAATTAAAGTTATTGTCATAGTAACTGAGAGTAAGTTTTGTAACTGGCACAGACTGGCATCAAACAATCAATAAAAACTTCGATAAAAAAAAATTAATGATATCGGCGTATATTTCAATTATGATATTGTCACAGGCATAGTTCATTAATGAAACAAAGTAAAATAACAATTGTACTAAAGGGCATTAGATATTTGTGTGACTTGAGGTAATTAATCATTAAAAATTGTTTTATAATTTTTATATTGATTATTATTAGGTACTTATGCAGAGATTAAAACTTTCAATGCAAAATTATTCTGGTTAATATTTAGGTACTAAATTACTGTTTATATAGATGTACAGTATATAGTACACAGTGCAGACAACGATAAGATATTAATTGGACACTATATATTATTAAAGGCGTGCAATTTTTTCGTAACTTGTGTAGTATAATACATAGAAGATATAAATATCAAAATTATTTTTATATAATATGTAGATGATAAAATGAATCAAACATTCATCATATTATTGAACTTAGTGATTAGAGAATCAAGTACCTATTAGCATTTTTCAAGAATAATAGGTTAAAGTATCAAATATAATTGTTAAAATATCGAAAATTGTCAAATTTATTTTCCTTGCATCCCATTCGACCAACTTCCCACGGTCGAGTTGACGATTTTCCCAATTTCCAAAGAGACAGAAAAGTAAATTTTTTTTTGTTTAGACAAATGTGTATTGTTCTTTGACGCAGTCTGATGTGGTCAAACCTAAACTTAAAAATATTATAAAATGCCATAGAGGTTTTCTATTCATATAGTGACCTAAACAAAGTCAAACGGTTGGAATTTCGATTTTTCAATTTTTTAACAATTTTCAACCCCATATTAAAAATTGTCATTTAGGAGAATAGAAAATATAGTGGTTGTTTTTCGATATTTTGACATTTTCTTTTACTCCAATAGCCACACTTCAACCAAATAATTATATAACATCCCTAGTTAAATTCTATACTAACATATTAAATTTAGCAAATTTGATAAACAGATTTATCAAATATATACAAATATAAAATAATCAAACAAGTATTTCTTCAAACTAGTCAAGACAATATAAGATCGCGCTATTTTACTAATGACATATATTATATACCTACCTAAAACAATCAGACTACAAAGATTCGTCTTAGTATTCTACAGAGTACAACTGTTAATGATGTTCACAAATGATATTGTATTGTGTTTAATATATTTATAATGTTAAACATATTTATTATCACTTAATCAATATTTATATTCCAATTTACACAGATTAGTGCACCTATTGGCTATTGACTACAATATTGTAAACATGTGGATTTCCTTCATTCTAAATATCAAATTATTATTAAATTATATGCAACATGAAATAATAGTAGCTGGGCAAGTAGGTAGGTAGGTATTTAAAATGTTGTCAATGTTAAAAATGTTGATTACTTACATGTTTGTTTATTTTTACCATATTATATATTAAGTATATTTAGAAAATATTTAATAGGTACTTACAACCAGCAAATTAATTGAAATATTAAAATGTAATATTAATATACATATATAAATAATTAATCTTTAAATTAACACTATTACTATTTACCTTGAAACTTAAGTGACTTTCCGATCAATATTGAACAAAATAAACAGAAGAAAAACAAAATATAATTATTAATTATATAAATTGTAAGAATCTGTACTGATCATAGACATATGCACTATCAATTCATACTAGTTTCTTTATCATGTTTAATTTTGTTTATTTATTCAGTATCGCGGCTATATTCACATCGGGCGTCGGACATTTTTCCCGAAGATAACAAAATCAGAATCAGGTACACCAACTTAGAAAATTAAATTCTCGGCAAATTATTTTCCTCTTTTTCCTATAACCTACCCGACGTAGTTTTACACAATAAATCGAGGGTTATTTTCAATTAAAACAAACATAGCAAGCGTAACAAACAAGTGCCCTACTGGGTCTCTAGATGCCGTATTTAGGACTATATTAACGTTAAACATGATAAAGTCAAAATATATAATGTATTTCACGTTTGTGCATTTAGTAATTCTATAATCTCGTTTGAGAATGTTCGATTCAGTTAAGGTTGACGTGATTTGTTATTATCGAAATGTTTTAATTTTTTTTCCATGGTTTTGGGAAAAGTGGCCCGCGTCCCTTTATATCTATAGCCGTGTTACTGTTTTTAAAAAATTGATAAGAGGTAAGATACAATATTTCAACGTTGCCAATCTTAACAATTTTTTTTTTTTAAATTGTACGGTTTATTCGTTAACTGTCAACCGATCTCTCTTAAAGTATCATAGTACCATATTTAAGTACGTCGTATTTTTCGTATTTAACCTAATTCCAATACGGCTGTACATAAATAAGTTATAGTGTTATACCAATTAAGGTACTTCCACCTATAATGATTTTCACTATTCCTCGTTGGCTACTTTCTCCCCTAGATGCACTACAAATCGAGGGTTATTTTCGATTAAAACTGTCCGAGTGAGCGCATGCTTTTTCAATTTTCCCTGCTACTTACCCAATGTGGTTCTGCACAAGACTGGTTAGCATGAATACATAATTTGAAACTATTTTTTTTCTGTGTTGTTGGTGTAACTACATTTTTAATTCACTTTGTTTTCTTAACGTTAGTGTTCGTGCAGACCGATATGGCTACGATTACTCATAATTATTTCTGAAAGCTGTACACATTTAAAAGCATAGAACTTTTACTGATAAACACGAAACTCGTATGACTAAAGCATTACGAGTTGCACGAAGCCGTGGAAACATATCGCAGTGATGTAACCCGCTTTGACACCAAGTGTACTAATTTTACAATAATACGGTAATGCAAATTACACATGCCATATAATCAATGATTTTACAGTGAATAATTGTATATAATTTATAATTTGTATTTTGTGCTAATAAAATGATCGTAAGTACTCGTAATATTATATTGAGGTATCGGGCAGTTAAGTATACTTGATACTAAAATATTCAGAATATAGGTAATGGCTTATTTTTATGATATAAGCACGGTAGTTTACAGTCACTCAGTTAACGAAAAGCGCCCTCTATTATTACACGCCCGGTGTGTAATCATTTCGTGTCTATAAGCTTAAAAAGCCGTGTTCAATATGATGCAGTATATTCTAAGACAGTGATAATCTGTTTGTTGATATCACGGACTATGATTAAGATAGTATAGTTGCCCGCTCGCGGCTCCGGTATGGCATAAAAAATATCATGGTTCCAAATTCGTTCAAAGAACCACAACGGTATCTATAACCGTGCACCGGACCATGATTCTCTAACGATTAAGATAAGAAAAAAAGAAACATTCATAGAATTCTTTAGGTTCCTAGATATTTTTTATTATGTATATTGTGATAAATGAGAATAAGAATAAGTATTCTTATCTATCTTTTACATCGAACTATGTATATGTTTTGAATTATACAATTTAAATATTATATATTACTTAAATATGTATTAAATTGTTATATTTTTAAATAATAAAATAACAAAGCAAATAAATATAGTAAATAAATAGATAAATAAAAAGTGTATACATAAAAAAAAGGAAAAAAAAGAGCTGATGCTGGGGATGGGAGCGGCTACTGTTGTAGGTGAAAAGTTGGGAAGGTAGGATACATAAGGTTATTTCATTTATATCTGTAAGCAACGTCCAGTAACACTTAATTTGAAGTACCGTAGTTATTTTTGCGATTTTTATTTAAATTTGATTTGAAATTTTTGAAGTCAAAATGTAAAACGCTACTCATTCAGACGACGCATTGATTCATTTATTTATTTTAATTTATGTACACATTTTTATTTATTATTTTTAATTTCAACCATTTGTATTTGTAATAATTTAAATTATTCAAGTGTAAACATTCACTTCCATAATATGTTGGATTTATAATCAAAACTAAACAAATACATTTTCCAATTAACTCCATTGATAGAAAATTCAAATAACATAGATCTGGATTACTTGGGGAGCGCGTAAAACAACCGGAAATAAATCAGCCGAACCATACTTATGCGGAAAAATATTTCGGCCGTACCATAATTTAGCAGAAAAATATTTGATCCAAAAATATTACAGCCAACTGTAATAAAGAGATAAGGTCAGATCTTTCAAAAAACGTTAACACGTGATAAAAAATAAATAAAAGAGAAATCCCGTACAAATTATTTTAAAATCAAATACAAGTTAACCAGATGTCCTGAGTAACCCACTTCTATTGATTTTTTGAACTTTTAGTCAATGAAGTTAATTGGAAAATATATTGGTTTAGTTTTGATAATAAATTCAACATGTGTATCTAAGTGGATGTTTATCTATATTTGAATAATTTAAATGCTTACAAATGGTTGAAATTAAAAATAATAGGTAATAATTTTAAACTTAATTAAATAATATATATTTTTATCACAGAAAATATTCAAAATGTTGTTGTTTTATTAGTTTTTGTTTGTTCAAAAGTGTGTCGGAGTTATAACTCAAAATTTGCACATTCTTTCAAATTTATCAATTTTTGTTCAAGATATCTTCCAAGTTTTCTAATTAAAAATTGATAAGAAATATACAAGTTAATAATTTGTAGTTTTAGGTAATTCTGCTGAAATACATTTGGTTATTCTATTTTGGCCGAAATAATTTTGTCTAAAATACGGTTCGGCTGTTTTATAGCCCCCTGGTTACTTGAGGCATCTGCTTAATTTAGGTGTTCATTAATCAACTTAATATTTGCCAAGTTCGTTTATTATCAAATTTGTTGGTTTAAATAACTTAAGGAAAAATTAATTTTTTATTCATTTATAAAAGTAGAACTTCACTAATAGTTTAAACAGTACCTAATCAATCACGATTTACTCGTGTAATAATTGACTTGAGAAACATATGTATTAAGGAACACTTTTTTCAGTTGTATTCAATATAATTGTATTTCTTATCATAAGATCTAATTAGGTAATATAATTTTTTTTAAATTTGATTTAAAAGTACCTAACCTACTTGTTTCTATAGGTAATTCATATAACATGAAATGACTTAATGTTAGGTTGGTACATTATAATATTATAACAAATTTTACACCACTGTAATTAGAGAGAGCACTATTGACGCTAAATTAAAATTTGATGTTTGAAGCAGCATTAGAGTTTAAAATTCTAAAATCTACTATCAACCATAATATTCGAGAGGAATAAATCTCATAGAAGGTCTCATTACTGCAAGTAAATAAAAATTTATTTTAACTACATGTAAAATTCAAAAATAATTTTACTGAACAATAGATGATATTACAGAAGTAAATATAGATGATGTAGTTTTGGATAAGTTCATGATAAGTTATTTTTTAAATTGGTTAGGTAAAGCTTACTAAAAAACTAGATGTTGTTTAATTAATTTCTAAGAAGTTAAATATTTTGTTATGTATTTAATCTCGAGTATAATCTTAATAAATTCTTTATAATTAATAATATATTAATTTAAACTTTATAACTAGGTACCTATTTACCTATAAATAAAAGGGTAGGTTAGATTAAAATAATACAATTTAAAGGCTGACAATGGTTAAATTATTTTCTAAAATATTTATTGTTATTGTCAATATTGGTATAACTTGTTGTTGATTTAAACATTTTAATTAAATATGTTTGTGGTAAAAATATAGTATATACCCTTAAAAAAGATTAAAAGCTATTGTTTTGTTAAATGTTTCAATAAAAAAAATCTACAATTAAATTGACATTATTTTTAAGTTTTATTCAAAAAACATAATAAGATTTATTATTTTATTACTGAAATCATCTAAAAATTATTTACAAAAAGTTTATATAAGTTGATTGTTAATAATAATCGATAATTTTAAAGTACTTGTATACAATTATATTTGTATACTCTTGTAACTGATGCATTTGTCTGTTGAAATATTACACTTGTGTCATGTTCATATTATATTAAATGGTTCTTTAAAATTAATTTTAAGTTAAAAAAAATTTGTTGTTTTTATACAAAATATAAGATATTTGTGTAAGCTGAACAAATATGTCGATCAACGTTTCAATAATAATAACTTATTACTAGGGCACAAATGTTGATTGCAGTATTGCACTAAAAACTACTGAAAATTGCATTCAAAAAATTAAAAATTTTATTAAAAAAATAATGTATTTTTTAAAAACTCTAAAACTGTAGCTCAATTTTCGACATATTTACAAAACAATAACAGAACTAATAGTATTCTTTTAGCCGACACGCTACACGAAATTCAAAGTCTGACTGAAGAACAAATTCTCATATTTACATAAATATACATAATAAATACGATAAATCTGATAATCCTAATAGGACAGGACCGACACACAGAAAATTGATTGAAACTAGGTTACAAAACAACCTATTTCTCAGTTTTTCTCCAGTATTTTTATTAATTATTATTATTTTATTATTTTAAATTATTTATTAAAATGTTAATATTTACTTTATCCACTAGGATAATATTATTGTAACTCATGCCTATCTAATATGCTATAACTTATCCTCTTTTTTACTTCACTCTACATCATGAATATATCGCAATACCTACATTAATATTAAATATTAAAATTTAAATTCAACACAAAGGGTTTCGCTATAAAATCAACAAAATGCAAAATGGTGTAACGTAAATATAATTTAAAAATATACAACAAAGAGGAAAACTAGGTAATTTAAACAAATAGCTTTTGACAAAATTTATCTAGTCCACTTAACTACATTCTATGATACATAGAATGTACATACATTCATACATTACAATACATCATTTTACTTATAGTTATTATACCTGTTCCATTTCCAACGTTTATTGTGATAATACATCAATCAAGTTAACAAATGGCACAATACAAAAATAATTGAAACTTTATCGGCATATAGTGTATGGACCGTACTTAGCTGAATTCCAATTAAAACAAAGATTTAGAAATGCACTAGTTGACAGATCAAAAACTGAGACCACTCCACTTAAAGTAATTTATGATGAGGGATCAATTAGGTAAATATAATAAATTATTGTATTGAATTAGCCACAAAGATATAAACTTTATCTTAAATTTTACAGAAATCCATAAGCAGCAGTCATGTATAGTTAGCCAACTACTGAGTCGTCATGCTGTCATGCTTGTAAGAAGTCAACTCCACGTTTACCATCCACATTATGAAAATTAGACGAATACTTGGATAATAATGCATATATGTATGTAAAATAAATAAATGTGGTTGAAACTTGAAAATGTTTTCTTAATATAGTTTTACCTCACGCACTTATATATAGATGCAACAATGATGCATTTTACCAAGAGTGGATGATAGATTGGGATGTTAAGTTCAGTATAATGTTTGGTTGCCATGATTGAATAAGTGCAGTAGTACTAGGTGTTGTTGAACTGCATGCAGATATAACGCTTATGCCACATTGTAGACAGTTATTTGTTATTCATATGATCCTGCATAATCATGTAGAATAAAATAAAATAATTTCAATGTAACAATTATATTTATATATATTAGTCACATATTTTGTAAATATTTTTTTAGTCTATACCTGTCTGTTACTTATTTATGGAATCGAAGAATGAAGCCACATATTGCAAAGTGTTGAAAAGATTCAAATCAAAATTTTCTAAAATTATGATCGATTTTGAAACTACACTTCATCAAGTATTTAGTGATATATATATCCTGAGGCTCATGTGACATCTTTCTGGTTTCACTATGCGCAGGTCTGAAATTTATATAATAAATAATAAATTAAAAATTATAATAACCAGGGTCTTAAAATATATTAATATGAATGGAATTATTAAAAACTATCTACACCTATTTAAGAATATTTATGATTACTAATATCAGATTCAGACAATGGGATTGAAAAGATGTCCAATATCCCTGACTAAATTCTTAAGGAATCACCAGATATTTATCCATTTTATTTGTAATATACATTATACAGGGTCTTCCAAATTTGACATTACAGTCAATTAATTTAACATAATTATTTTTTTATTTGAAAATAATTGTAATTTTGCACACAGACACACACACACACTACTTAGGTAATTATCATATAGGTCTCTATAAGAACCTTTTTCAGGGTATTGGGTGTAATTTTAGAGATAAACAATTGAAAATGAGGGGAAATGTACTAATTTCTTGAAAAGTACCTCTATTAAAATGTAAATATGTATTTATATTTGAAACACTGTGTGTTAACAATAACAATGTGTCAACAAATAAATATAATTTAGTACATAATATATTTTGAAATATAATTGTTTTAGAAATTATCGATGCAGAATTATTTGAACCAGAAGTGATAATTGGTAAATAACTATTATTTTATTTTTATTAGTTGAATTTATTTACAATTTTAATGTTTTAAAATATGCATCGTTTTTTTTAGATAATAATCCATATGCTATGATGGAGAAGGAAGAATTTTATATTTAATAATTTTATTAATTTATGACTTAAAAAAACAATTACATTGTTAATTTCACTTTTTATTTAATTTTTTTAAATTTAAATATACAAAATTAATTATTATGAGTAACATGAATTTAAATTGGTTACTTTTTATTTTAATATTATTGTAATTAGGCACACTAATGATATTTGAGTACATAACTATCTGTATTTTCACTACGTTTTTTCATTTTATTATGAAAGCTGTTAATAAAATCTAAAAATGACCTCCTTAAAGTACAACCTCAAAAAAATTAGCTTTCAGAAACGATGCTAGACTTTGAAATTGGATCAACATTTCTAGTAGAAAAGTTGTTCATAAGAAAAAAAAAAATCATTGTTAAACCAATAAATTCCTCAGTTTACTTAGAATTTAAAATGTAGTGCATTGTACATTACAACATACAAGTGTAGTAAAGCCTACTCGAACCTAACTACTTTAGTAATGTTTTTGATGCACCTAAAGTATCCCTTCGCATTATCTATATCCTAACCCATTATCTTTTTTTTTGATCAATATAATAATTGTATGGGTATGACTGCATCAAACATAGGTGGCCAAAAACAAAACAAACCTTGCGGCATTAAGTGTCTACACACATTAGTATGAACAGCATATAACACTTGGGACTGTGGCATTGAATTTTGAACAATATCAAGCAACTTAATGTCACAACATCAGTATCATTGTGAGAACCAGGCTTAAATCACTTCCAACTTGACATTTGCAAGTTGCATCCAAATGGCCCAACTCAATTCTCATATGTTGACTGTTGTGTAAAAATTATAAAATTTAACTGCAATTTGCAATAAAAATTATAAACTGATGAAAATGTTTTTAATTTTAAAATAGTATGTACGAAATTTCTCTTCCCAATATTTATTTCTTATCACGCATTATCACGCATTTTTTGGAAGATCGACCTTATCTTATTAAAACGGTCGGCTGTAATATGAGTTTTATTTTTCTGATAAAATATAATTTTCTTACTTTTTACGAGTCCCTATAATTTCGGCTTAAATACTATTCGGCCGAAATATTTTCCTGCTTAAATACGGTTCAGTTTAAATATTTTTCGGTTGTTTTATGCGCTCCCTACCCATAGAATCATACTATATGATCCGACGTAACATGTTATCATTAAATTATTTTCCATGACTGGTGTAAAAATCATAGAATAAAAAACGATTTTACCTAAATCATATTTTTTCGTACAACTTGACGTTATGGTGTTTCTCGTGATAGGTTATATCTTACATTCAGAAATCTATGGCATGTATACAAAATTGGTGTGGTTTTTTTTTTAACCTAAAATATGATTATATAGGTTGTTTCAAATTTGATTAATAATTCGTAAGACTGTCAGATCGGGATTGAAATTTGAAACATCAAAATCAAACGAACCAGACAAAATAGTGATTTTTGTTGTGTAACCATTTAAAATTAATCTCATGCGACCAGCAATTACCGCTAATATGAATTAACAACGTAATCTAATTGTCGTATTGAATTTAAGGTAAGCTTAATCGCATAATATTATAGTAGTTACCTATTATTACAACAGAATTAAGTATTCAAAATATAATTTTTTTTACAATTTTGTATATGCATTTTTTTTATAGTACATAAGATTACTTACTACATATTACTTTAATATGCTTTTAAGTGAAGTAATTAATATAATATTCAGGTACCTAGTTAATAAACAGCTCAGTTTTATATATATATAAATTTATATCCTCACATTTTTCCCCTTAATTAGGTATTTTATTATAAAATTTACTTAATAAATACCTACATAATTGTTAAATTGGTAAAATATAATAATATTGAATTAATTTAGGATAGCTACCAAGTTTCTCATCAAGCACTTCATAACACTATAAAATACACACGCCCATACCTATAATATTAATTGTTTACATTGTATAGACATTTACAATTATATCAAAATGTTGGTACCACATCTAAGTAGGTACCTACTTAGATGAGCGATTCAAATTTCATTTTATTTATAACATAAAATAGATTGAAATATAAATTATTCATACCTAAGTGGTGAACGTTAAATTATAAATTTAAAAAGTAAATTTGTGGATTTATGTTTTAAAGAATTAACAATAAGATTGAGTTTGTAATTGTTTAATTATAGTTGTGTTAAATACACTATATTTTATTCAAACAAATTCAATTATATTAGATAGGTTTGTTTTTATCACTTATTTTTGGAAGACAAAATTTATTTTAATGGAAGACATTAATATTCATTACTTGCCTAGGTATTACATTTAAATATTTAAAAATTAATAAATAATAATGTTTAGTATTTAAGATTTCCAAAACAAATGTATTTTATTTCTGTATATTCATCCATGCCATGATGAGATCCTTCTCTTCCAAGACCAGATTCTTTGACACCTCCGAACGCTGCTTCTGTGGACGATATAATGCCTTCATTTACACCCACCATTCCGACTTCTAGAGCTTTTGCAACTCTCCACACTTGGGATAAATCATTTGAATAAAAATAACCAGCCAATCCTCTGTTTGTGCTATTTGCAATCTTTAAACCTTCTTCTTCTGTATCAAATTCAATACATACTGCAACAGGACCAAAGATCTCTTCTATGTAACAGGCCATATCTTCAGTGATGTTTGTGATTAATGTTGGTTCATAAAATCGTTCACCAAAATTCAATGCTCGTTTACCACCAGTTATAATGTTTGCTCCTTTGTTTTTGGCATCGTTTACTATTCTGTCGACTTTTTCTACCTGAGCGAGATTTATCAAAGGCCCTAAGTTCACACCACTATTTATACCATCTCCCATGACTAATGTATCCATAGCTTTTTTCAATTTTTCAACAAATTCAGGAAATACTTTTTTTTGAATAATAAATCTATTAGCACTTACACAAGTTTGTCCACAATTTCTGAACTTTGAAGCCATTGCTCCAGTCACTGCTTTGTCGATGTCAGCTCCTTCAAATACTACAAATGGAGCGTTTCCTCCTAATTCCAAACCGACGCGTTTCACTGTGCTGCTACATTGTTTGTATAGTAATTTCCCGACTTCTGTAGATCCAGTAAATGATATACCATAAATGTCTGGACTTTCACATAGCAGTTTACCAATTTCTGGAGTATTTCCTCTTGATGCCGTTACAACGTTAATTACACCTTTAGGGATACCAGCATCTTCTGCAAATTTTGCTGCCACTAATGCTGTAATTGGAGTATTTTCAGCAGGTTTAATAACACATGTACATCCTGCTGCCAAAGCAGCTCCTGCTTTTCTAGTAATCATTGCAATTGGAAAGTTCCACGGTGTAATCAGACCGACAGGTCCTAACGGTTGGCGAATCATTAAAATTTCTTTGGTTTTAATTGGACTAGGAACATATTCACCATAAGTTCTGCGCGCTTCTTCTGAAAACCATTCAACAAATGAATTTCCGTATGCTACTTCACCGAGTGATTCTGGTAATGGTTTGCCTGCCTCTGCTGTTACAATTTCTGCCAAATAATCTTTGTTTTTAACTAAGATATTGTACCAATTCCTCAATAAATCACTCCTTTCTTTGGCTGTTGTATTTTTCCAAGTTTTAAACGCCTCATTTGCAGCGTTTATGGCCACTTGTGTATCTGAAGTATCCAAATCTGGTACAGTAGCAATAGTTTTTCCTGTTGCTGGATTGACAACATCAAATGTTTTTCCAGATTTCGCATTACACCATTCGCCATTTACATAAGCTTTTGTGGGCCATGTTGAGGAATAACGTTGTGCACTCATTGTTATTGATGTATTAATACATCGAGAGAATTTTAAAAACATGGTTCAAATGTAATTTTGTTTAAATAATTTCAAAGAATTCAATAATATAACCAGATTAGGTTTAACTGTGGCAAATTAAATCTAATTATCAAGTACCTATTAAAAGTAATTAAATTAATAACTGGTTCTTTAGAGAGTTAGACTATATTCGTAATTACTGATTAAGCGACAGATTATTCAAACTGTCTGTAGAGTAGTTTTCTTTTCTCTATGATATGCACTCGGCGTTTTGAACTTTTTGAAGTACCTAGTTTTATCAATAATTTGTACGTTCACGGGCGGGACGCGGGAATGACGCGAGTGGTGGGGTGGTAGGTGGGGATCACCGAAGAGTTCACCTCCTCATATCGTGTAAATGGTGTTACCAACACGTGCATACCATAATTTATCGGCATAAATCCACAGTAATATACATATTTTATTTATTTCAAAGCTAAAAAAATATAATAAAATATACGTACCTATTATATTAACGTTCTACATTTTGTAATATGAAATAGCATTTATTCATTTCTAAAATTAAAATATTTTAATTTAATCGATATTTCATTTTGATTAATTTAAAATAAAATATATGCTTACCCATATATTTTGTATTTTAGTCACGTACAATGTCTACAGCAACCCCACATACGCAATTTTTTTTTTTCTTAACATTTAGTATGCAATTTGTATGAATTTGTATAACTATTTCCAAAATTCGTACGACCCCCACTCAAAGTCCAAATAACGATCTAAGCATTAAAATAAATTTGTTTGTATTCAACCTAAGTTATTTAATCAATAGTTGGGGTTATCAACTTTTACACTGATATACTATTTAAAAAATACAAATAAAATTTGTATAGATTTGAGCATGTAATTAAGATAATAACATGTATTAGATATTTAAAAATTATCATATAATAATAATACAAATGTCAATTAAAAGTAATAAAACTGGTAAAAAAATAAAATTATTTTAAGCTTAAACTTAATTGAATTATATAAAAATGAATAAAAACTCAGTCCACATAATACATTTTTTTTGTTTTTAGTTTTCAAGCTATTCTTTGATATGGATATTTTTTGTTTTATTTTTGCATGTGGTATAAATTATGTTTTAAATATTGAAAAAAAGGTATGTATTAAATTATATATATATATTAAATAACTCATGTTGAATTAAAATAAATTTATTTTATTTTCAAATTCATTTTAATACTCAGATCGATATTTGGATTTGAAGGGGAGGTAGTACAAATTTCGAAAATAGTCATACAAATTGCATACTAAATGTAAGCAAAAAAAAATGTTCGAAAATCTATGTCAGGGTATTGGGAAAATGTATGTATTATGTGTGGGTTTTAAATAGTGGGTATTATACTACTATTTTATAGGTCCCTTTAATGTCCAATTATGATGACCCCTTTTGTTTTTTATTATTATTAATATTATAACACTTCCTTATTAAATTTGAAATTTAACTATGCCAGTCAATGACATCGTGTCTAATAAATATAGGTACCTAAATATTCTTTTATTTGGTTTGTCATTGAATATGTTATCTAGCTATGTAAGTATATAAAACATTAAACCTCGTTTAATAATTATTGTAATTTAAAAATGAGTTTGGAATAATATTAACAATGATTATTATTATTATGAATAGTATTACCTACTTCTTACCTTGTACCTATTATCAATTGTATTAATTACAAGAATGTGAAATCATAAATTGACAATGAACTTTGGTCCATATCCCAGATAAGTTAACAGATAAAATAGTTCAGATATTCTGCACACACGTTTTTATTAGATTTAATTTAAAATAGAATATAATATGTATGACTATTAGTTTTCTAAAATATCAGTTAAAAATATACAAGAACCTACTGGACAATTTGTTAACAAGCAATTGTTTTCTATTTTTTATTATTTATGTAATTGTTTCCTAATTGTATTTACTCTATTTATTAAACATTTTCGGTATAATAAAAATATATTTTAATTTTTAATTTTTAGATAGTACTTAATCTCTATTCAAACAGCTATATATTATGTATGTCTATTCTACAGCTACTACAGCTATTTATAAAACAAATATTTTAAAAACTAACTTGTTCAATAGTATATTATATGTAAAAATAAACACATCAACTATACATATATGGGGTGATTTTTTTATCATGAACCAGCAATTATCTCAGAGGATTTTAAATTAATTTGATTTATATTTTTTCTAGTCATTATGGAATTGTTTAAGCTTTATTTTAAAACCATTTTTAATTTTTTACCTCTACTTCACATACCTTAAAAAAAGTACATGCTTCTGATTTTGAAATAGGAACCACTTTTGAGAACCTAGATTTGAATAAAGAATATCTTTTTAGAAATTTTGATATGCATAATACAAATATATTGGTATAGTTATATTAAACAAAAACGTACTATAAAAATAATCAACTTCCATATAGTTTTTGTATTATGATTTATTTTGATTAAATATGATCATAGTTAAATTAAATTATTTAGTTTCTGTTTTTGTTTTTTTTTTTTTAATTTTATGGTACTAATATCGGAGACAAAGTGACAAATTAGGTTGAAGGAAAATACATTTTTGATATTGAATTTAAAACTTGTATATTATATTTAAATAGTTTTCAAATTACCACACATCTTAAATTACATAATTAATCAAAGAACAAAGGAATCGAAATTGAAAATTTCAATTTTATGTTGCGCATACCTATCTCTTAAAAGGATTCGATACCGACTGACTTTTTGGGTAAAAACTGCCTTTCTTTTGGCAATCAGTCCGATCGATGTAGTGGAGCGATAAGAATTCTGTAAACTAATTTTGGATTCAGCATAGATGAGATCGATCAGGCCACTTTTTTAAGTTAAATTCGTAATATTTTTTTTTAAACAATTACAAATTTTAAATCCAATTAATGACAATTAAAATTTTAAATTTTAAAAAATGGCCCGATCGATTTCGTCCGGAGTTCACGCTGATTCTGTTTTCAGAATTCGTATCGCTCCGCTACGTCGATCGGACTGATTGCCGAGACAATGGTGGTTTTTGTTGCATAAATTGTGCAAGTATGAACCGTAGCAATACTGGGGGTGACACGTGCGTGCGAAAATTATATCCCACACCGCTCAGCCGTCTAAAGCCAGGATCATACGTCGCGTGATTTGTTGTGGTATTGGAGCGGTACAGTGCGGTACAGTTGACGCGCCGAAAATTTGTTGTATGCGCGGGAAAATTTGTTGTATGCGCGGCCCGCCGCCCGTTCTTTCCCGACAATCAATTTCAAACAGTCGACTTTTGATTTTGATTGCCGCTCCCTGTGTCACGCGCCAATTTTCCTTTGGCGATTAGATAATTTGTATTATCTCCACATCTGAAGATAGCTGCTGCAGACCTATTAACCTAAGACCGTGCTTTGAACTATTTTTTTTTTATAAATATTATATTAAAGTAGCTATTTGGATTTATTTTTCAATGCAACATTCTGTTCTGATCAGTTTGATGTATAGTTTATTTTCACACAATTTTCGGAGTTGCGCGGAGATGGGCAATCTATCTATTACGAGTGATCCAAATCGCAAATTTCGAAACCGTGTCCATGATGCTTGGGAAATCACGTTCCGTCTGATCCACACAGGCGCGCGCGGTATACACGCGACGCTCGCAACGCGCCGTGTGATCCTTTAAGGACGCCGCGCCACGGCCGGAACGCAAAGCAACGTTATCAATCACACGTTAAAACCACATTATTTTATCAAATCAACGCTCGATAATATTTTTTTGTTCCTACTGCAATCACGTTTTTGTGTTCACTGTGCTCTTGTCACTTTAGTCCTTACCATTTTTGAGCGAACGCGATAACGCCGAAATAGAAAAAAAAGAAACTTTCCTTATCGAAACAAGGGAAACATAGGCTTATGGTTTTGGAAAGATGACTATTATTTTCCCTGTGGACAAATTTTCTACCAGACCTTGCTCCAATTTTTAAATGAAACACCTTTTCTGAAAGGAAATCTGTGTGGGATGGCACTTATTTTTCTCTATGTCCTGCTTATTGTTGACAGTAATCGTGTCGGTTCGCGCCGAACAACCCATGCCGCCGTTGACGCCCCGCGACCACTCGTACCTACTCGCGTGCATTGTAATATAATAAGGTAAGTAGTGATAAGGAAGTCACTGACACTAATAATCAGTTATAATACACACGAAAACATGGCTTGCACGCACGTACTATAGAAATTGCCTATTCTTAACTCCTTAAAACAGGTCGGTATCGAATCCACTTGACCATAATATACTGCTATTTTATCATTCATAATAAATTATAATAACAATAATTAATATATCATTCAATGCTGATACCAAATTTAAAGAACAGATTACATTAAGTAATTTTTTAAAACTTTATTAACTATAATAATTAAAAATCAGCAGAAAAGCAGCCATGTTAGTAGTACTTTCGTTTATAGCATCACAAATTAGTAATAGTTCAAATAATTCTGATAAAAATTTGTATCTACTGATTATTTGTACCTTTATTGTTTATTTTATAGTCTGTCTGAAAACTGAAATAAACAAAATTCATACTACAGTTGTAACATGATGATTTGTCACTTGAAATAACTTTTGTTCTGTTAAATATTTATGATATATTTTTTTTTTTTAAATAATTAGTATGCCTCTGCGCTATTGTTTTTTATCATTTGAACATTTTTTTTTTTTTTACGGAGAGGGAGACTTAAAATAAAGATCCACGAAAAATAATGGTAGTAGATGTTTTGAAGTCTTGTGTAAAATATTACTTACACTGCAAACTTAGTAACCGATTTCAGTAATGGCCATCCCCATCTTGGAAGTTGGTGTTGATGGGTGTAGATTAAGTACAACGATTTGGAAAGCTCTGTCCTCGCGAGCATGATATGTGTGGTATTTAATTTTTTTGTCTTTTAAGATGTCTGATGACATTTCGGTAAGCATCAGCATCTTTAGTTTCAATTTTTAGACCTTTCGTTGTTGATTTAAATGAGAAATTTTGTGTACCAATCAAATTTATCAGGTCAGTACGCAGTTTAATAAAATCTTCGATATTACTGTCAAAAATTGGTGATGGAATCTTGGTTGTTTAAGCGTCATCAATTTCAATTTTGTTCGTTGTTAAATGATTTGAAGCGAATTAGGAAGCTGTATTTATATCATCTGAGATAGGAGCGTACCTATTTTCGGTAACAAACTTTATTTATTTGTTTTTGTTTAGTTTTGGTGAGGTAGAGATTGATGAAAGGAGTAATGTCTGTTTGAGCTTGGAAGATTTCTTGGAGGTTTTGACTTGGAATTCAAAAGAGTTGTTTTGATTTGGTTTCATACCGAATTCGTTTTCGAATACTTCGATTGAGTTGCTCTGTATATGGTTATTATGAGTATAATTTGATAAACGGTACAACTTGGAATTCATTGTTGATGGTAAGCTAATGAATGAATGATCAATTGCCGAGGAGATCAAAGTGTTTTATTTTAAATGCCCCTCCAAAAAAAAAAAATATATATATCAACAATTTTGAATAGAACAAAAGTTATTTCGAGTGACAATCATCGTGTTGTTTTTTAAAATAACTTAATTGTACTTGTTAATACTTTTTTAATTTCAAAATATAATTTCTGTAAGTTATCCGCCTCAATTATTATTCAAATTTATTAGCTATTATATTTTATTGAAACTAGTTCCCTGATATTATATTATAAAAAAACTATGTTAACATTTAAACCTTTAAATTAATTTTTAAAACTTAGATTTAACTAAGTACACTGACACAATAAAATTTAAAAATATTTATTTCGAATTTGTATAATGTATTAATTTAATTGTTTTTTAAAAAATGTTATTTTTATTGCTCTATACTTATAAATATCTTGAAATCACGTAATTTAAAGCACCTACTTATGTGTATATATATATTATAATATTAATATTGAATTTTTAATTCTAATTGATTTAGTTATATGTATTGATTTTTTAAGAAATTAACACAGTTATTAGTACTATTTATATTAATTTGGTTCTCACAAACAAAATTGTGTGGAAACAGCCTATTTAACATTACCTATTATTAAAATAATAATTTTTTATAATAAAAAATTTATTAAAATAAAGTATAAATTACAATTACTATATTAGCACATTTTAAATGTTAATTATATAGTATATATATATATTTTTTTTTTTTTAGATATGGACAACATGATTAAGAAATACTTTAATAATAATGCTTTTTTATTTTCTTTTGGTGAGTTATTTCTATATAAATATGCCTAGAACTTGTATATTTTTTAAAATAATATATTTTATATTTTTCAGCTTCTGACTATACCACAAATTATTTAAATTCTATCAATGAAAAACCAGTATCTTCACTGCTAGCACCTGTAACATTAGCTTTATTTTGTTACTATATCTATGTATATGTAAGAAAATTTTACCCAATCTGTGTAAACTGTTGGTTTTGCAATGCCAACTTTAAAGTCCCTTTTGAAGACCGATTTGAATACACATGTGTTGAATGTAAACAGTTTAATGGTTTTAAAAATGTAAGTATTTTATTATATATAGGATGTCCCACAAGGATTCAACAAATGCAATAATTTTTGTTCTATTCAATATTTTCAGTGTACATTTTTTTTTAATAATTAGTATGCCTCTGCGCTACAGTTTTTATATGAACATTTTTTTTATAAAAAAATCAAAATAGCCATTTTGTAAAATAGATAGTTTGAAAATTTTAATAATTTTCTTTTCAACCATAACAATATTGTTTATCAACATAAATTACCATCATTGATAGATTGAAACTACCTAATAATTGATATGAAAATATTATTGCATGATATTAAATCCTGAAAAAGAAAATCCTGACTAATAATTTATAACTAAATAACCACAATAAGTAATATTACAATTTCCAAAAACTTCAAAAAACTATATTTTAACAAAAGTTTCAACCACTAAACATATTCTAAACATCTATTTTACAAAATAAATAATTAAATTTTTTTATTTTAAGTCCCCCCCCCTAAAAAAATATATATATCAAGATTATTGAATAAAACCAAAGTTATTGAATTTGTTGAATCTTTGTAGGACATTCTGTATAGTGTAATATTATGTATAGACCAAGGTTGCTCACCATGTTTGTTTATTAGTATTAATAAATTTGTAATCATTTGATTTTAATAAATAATTAATCATTATTTGGTTGATAATAATAATTATAATATGTTAACTCTTCCCATTTCTTTAATATAAACAAGGATAATTTTTTATTTATTTTCGAGTAATTTCATTATTTTAATTTCAGATTCACGAAAAAAATATTTTGTAGAGAATTTGGTATGTATTAGTCTAATATATAGACTTATAATGTATGAATTGTATTAATTTCAAATTTAAACTAGAGAATGTTAATCTAAAATTAGTTTTAAAACAAATATAAACTCCTTTCCAAACTACCTATTTAAATTTTGAATTATATCAATGATCACAACCTATTATAAAAAGTTAGATCAATTTAAGAGAACGTTACATGCTCAATTTTTATAGTGTTATTAATTTTAATGAAAAGGTAAAAAATATTCAAAATCACTTTCAAGTAACTTTAAAAGTAATTCTATAACATAAAAAGTATTTATGGTGTTATCATGAAATTTGATTAAAATTGTTTAATTTATCTTTTATACAAATATAAAATAGATGGACTACATACAGTCAACAGTATACATATCATTTTAACTTAATTTTGAGGAGAATATTATTTGTGCTCTAGCATTCTTACCTTTTGCTCTATCTAATACAACCAACAGTATATCAATATCAAGTATATAAAAACGTGCCATCTCAAACCATTAAAATTAATCTGCACAAAACTTTTTTTTTAAAATGTCAGGTTGTCTTTTTGGTTGATTTCTGAAATATAAAGTTATTAACAAAACATTTCTGTAGAAGCCAAAACATTGAACATTTTATTGTCCATTAAGTTTTAATATTGTATGTTTTTTTTTATTTTCCAATCTTCTATAGTTAAATTGCTGTACATATTTTGACAGATATGAATTTTACTGCACGATTTTTGTAATAATAAATATTTGTACATTTGTTTTAAACCAGAATAATATATATTTTAATCATGCCACAGAGTCTTACAAATACCCAAATTTTCTGTGAATTTAAAACTAAAATGTTAATTTTTTTATTAAAAATATATATATTATTGTTTTAATAAATGGTGAAAGGAATACAAATACACACATCAATCAGTTATAATTTGCAAAAATCTAATAGCTATAGTTATATTAACCCATAATTACTGATAGGGACACCTATGGTGAGACATCTTGTGTATAATATAGTGTTTATTTTTATAGCCATTTAAAAGTCCTGAAGTTGTTATAAGATTATTTATTTTTTTTTTACAGGATGGAAGCTACAGCAAAATAATTCCTGAACAACATGATCATAGGTACAATAAGTCAATTTTTACTGAACTCCAAGATAGTCCAACAGAAAGTAAAAATGGTTTATGCCATAAATGTAATATTGTTCAAGAATTAAAAGTGAAACAGCTAGCATCTTTCACTCCTACTAATGAAAAATATTTTGATAAGGAAATAGAAATATTCAAGTAACATTTAAAGTATTATTCTGTAATATAAAATAGCTAATATTTATAATTATTTTTAGGAAAAACTTAGAAAAAACATTAACTCTGTGTTCAAAATGTAATTTATACAAAAACAAAATATTATCAATTCAGGAACAACGTTACAACTTGAAGTCAATTCGGATGAACAATCGAACGGTGATTTCAATACTTATTTTGATCTCAATTTGTTATTAACAATTTTTTTCATTACAGTATATGCAAAATGTTTTAGCCTGGCCTAATATATGTTCATTGTGTTTATCATTTATTATTTTTCTACTATCTTCTTGTCCTGAGAACAATTTAATTGATTGGATAGACAGATTTGAAGATACATTGGTTGTTCCTCACAATATAATAACAATAACACGCTTGATTGGAATGGCTTGCCTGTGTGGTATATTATGTCAAGTCTATCAATATTCAATCGCAGTGGATATATTGAGCATTATGGTTTTAATTTTATGGTCATTGTTATTCACTGTCAATAATTTTGAAATTCTTAAACGTTTCCAAATTGAGGTAAGTTTTAGTAAATTAAAACAATATTAATTTTAAAAGTGTATATTTTATATTGTAACATATAATTTATCTGATTTATATTTTCTAGCTTCTTGTTTCTATATTTATTATACTTCTATCTGCAGTCTCTATAATTATAAATTTGGCAAAGAAACAAAATATTCGACAAACTAGCATTAAATTAGAGGATGAACCTTATCAATTTAGCACAAGTTATATTGATACAAGGTAATTTAAATTAATGTGAACTGTTATTATATGTGTTAATATTAGAATTTAGTACTTGTGCATACTAGGTATTTATTTTACTAACCCAAATGCATAATAAATTTAAACCTAAAAGGTATATATAGGTTTAATGCAATAGTGTATCATTATGTTACCTCAAAAATAATTACTCTTATTTCATCATATTCAGGGTATAATACACATTTCTATCATTTCATATTATTTTAAAATATTAAAGTCCTTTCCAATTTAACTGATTCAAATTGTCCAAAAAAACATGTTAAACAAAATGGTTTTTTTTTTTTTTGACAAAGTCGTTAATATTGTATCCATTATCATCTCAAATGGATTACATCAAATACAGTCGTTAAATCTTGATGTTAATAACATTAGTGTTGAAATATTTGTTTGTTCATAAATTGTTTGCTGAAAATGTATTGTGGATTTGGGTCTAACATTGTAAAATTATAATATGTATAACTATTATAATATATGTGTATTATGTTGTATACTCCATAATTGTTATTATTTTAATTTATATATATTTTAAGTTTTAATACATAAAGTATATATTTAAAAAAATATATGTTTTTGCATACATATTAAAAAGTTAGAGCTTACAGTGAAACAAACCTTGTTAGTGTGATTTTATTTAAATAATAAATTTTCCCACAGTAGAAATAAAAAACTGGAAAACGATATAACAAATAATAAACCAATAGCCAATTTATTATAATCTGATAATCATTCTAGTAAGAAATGTATGTCACCAAAAACACAATTACGGGAAAATCGTTTTCTGCCGGGTTCAAGTAATCAGTTCATCGTGCGCCTCCCGAAATTCAAAGTCGCTCGAGTACTTAATGAAAAAATCTTTCTTGAAGCCATTTCCAAGCCCATTCAGTATACAACCAGAGACGAATATGATTACGACTTAAACGCACAGTATATGACCTCTCGACACAACGGTATGTTATTTACTACCTGTTAGAAGTCATGTTTCTGTATCTTTTCAATATTTTGGGTTTAAAAACAATTTTAATACTATTAACTCAACAATTATCAACAATATTTTTAAATATATTTTTATCGTTATCTTTATTTTACATTTTATTATGGTAAAATAACTATTGGTCAAACTCAAATATATTATTATTTCAATTTATTATATATTTCAATAAAGATTAGTAACTATTCTGTTTTAGTTATGATTACTATCTTTTTTTATTACAAGGAATGTTTCACTAACCTGGCAATTTACTTATATTTGTTCAATTAGTTATAGAGCAGCCGCATTTAAATAATAAAATGGAATACATTGAATTTATAATATTTGTAAAATAAACGATCAATGTATTATAAAAAATACTTATTTGAAAAATACTGGTTTTAAATTTAGTTTCCATACCAGATTAGATTAGGCATAATTTATTAATTTGTGATACAGTTACAGATTAGTTACTAGATCACCAACAGCTTAAGTAACAAGCTGTTACTTAACAATATACAAAGAATATATACTTTTATAAATTATATAAATAAGCTATACAACTTTTTGATCAATCTTATTTTCACTATGCTATGACAACATTATATAGTACCTTAGTACTTAGTAATCTTAGTAAACCTTTTGAATCTTTATGGAAATTGTATACAGTGATTTTTTTTATTATTAACAATCAATTTTCTTTAAAAAATGTTTCTAAGTGAATTTAATTTTTGATTTTTAAACATTTAAACTTTATTTTAAAACCACTTTTAATTTGTTATCACTACTCCAAACATCTTAAATAAGTATATACTTTCGTTTTTCAAATAGGAACCCCCCCCCCCTTTTTAAACACAAATTTAAATTGAGAATATTTTCCTAGAAATGTTGATAATATCAGATTTATCGTTTAAAGTTTAGACCGGAAGGATATAGAGAGTTATCAATTTATCATTTAAAAATAAATTTATTTATTACTTTATTAGTTTTTCCTACTTCTATGGTCTAAGCTTTAAATGGTAAAGTCTAATATTAGTGTTATGCATATCAAAATGTATAGAAATATATTCTCTATTCGAATCTTTGTTAAAAGGGGGAGTTCCTATTTGAAAAACAAAATTATATACTTATTTAAGGTATATAGAATAGGGGTAAAAAAATAAAAAATGATTTTAAATAAAGTTTAAATGATTCCAAAATAATCAAAAAACAGAAACCAAATTAAATACATTTAAAATTGTCAAAGAAAATTGCTAGTTTATAATAAAAAAAAAATACCGTACTATGTCAAGTTTGTGACCGTAGTTGATAAATGTTGAAACCATGTACAAACATATAGTGTCCATACATGCTTATAAACCAGTGACTATTAATGTTTACTGCTATACAACCAAATACATTATACATTAATAAATATATTTAAAAAAAATTCTAGCTTTCTTTTATTATGTTTCGTCCAAAAATAAATAACTAAATTTTCATTGCAATAATAATTTGATTATTTTGTTTGATATTAATATTATGTAAATAACAAATTATTTTGGCAGCAGTAATTTAATAATTAATGCATTAATTACCAAATTATTGTTAAATAATAATTTATAAAAATAAAATTAATTTTTAATAGAAATCTATTTATAAATCTGATCACTGTAAAACTTATTTCTGTTTATTGTTTGGATATATTAATGTTCATGTAAATGACAAGGAAATGTATTTACAAATTGTATATTTAAAATAAATTAATCAATTTGCTTCCTGTGAATTCCTATCTTAAATGATTCCTGTGTCCCATTATAAACCTAATATGTTAATTAAATCTATGGCAATAGTGCAGTCAGGATTTTATCTTGGGTGGAGGCTTAAAAATATAATTATTTTAACTTCATGATCAGAACGATCTGTAATTTTTTTTTCTTATTACGAAAGCTAAACTAATCCAATCATATTCTTTACTTGAGTCAAATTAATTATTTACTTCCAGGTCCAGGGCACCCCTAGTTGCACCACAGATGTATGTTTTCATATCAAATGTAATAATGGATTAATTTTACTATTGCATTATATAGAAATATTTGTTTATCATTTCACACATAATATTATTTAAATAGGTATTAAGCCTAATATTTTACTGTGTCTCAATTTAGTTATGTCTATTATTACTATTTTATGTTTTTTATCATTTGATAGAAAAATCAATGACTAGAATTATTGAAAATTGCCTTATAACGTTTATTATTAATATTCTTTTTTACCATTAATTAAGTTTTTATTTTTTCTTAGTGAAAATGGATCTGTCAAAAATAGTGATGATTCAGAAATGATGGACATTGATTACATTGAAGTGGCACCCAAAAAAGTGAAAAAAACATTACCTAAAAATGTCGACAACCTATTCCAAGGGATGAAACTCAATGAAACCTATGGTGTTAAAAATAATTTCATACGACCTCCAAAGTTCTGTATACCTCCTAAACGTAACAAATTTTCTGGATATGCAGAGTCTTCTACAGGATATTACACACCATATTCCGTAAAAGATGACTATACATTTGATACACAAAGCTTGTATTCTCAACACAGTTTCAAGTCACAGTATTCACCGTTGTGTCATCAGTCCATTTCTCCGTACACATATTACGTTCCCCCTCATCTTAACCAACAACCGAGTCCATTAAACTTATCGCAATCATCGAATGCTTCAAACATACAACAACAACAACACTCTACTGAATGGTCAAAGATGCTGGTGTATTCAATTCCTGGAATTATATTACTAACTCTGCAATGTTACCTCTTATATGACATTAAAGACTTTATGAAACAAAAGTGATATTAGATTTTAATTTTTATCATAAACAATATATTATACATAGTGATTTTTGTAAATATTAACTATACTGCTATTATTATTGGATATCCTATTATAATGTTTATGTGTAGTTTCCATTATGTATAAAGACTGTTTAACAATAACTATTAATTTGTAATCATTATGTAATGAAAATATTTTTTTTTTTTATTTAACCATGTAAACTTTACTTTAAATGTCAATTAAATTTTGTTTTAATAAACTCTTCCTAGAATTATTTTTCATATAATTTGTCAAGTGGAAGTATTGTATGTATTTTGTTTTTATTATGTTTAATATTTAATTATAATTTATACTCTGATAATTTTATAAATATGGGTTGTTAAATGTATAAAAATTCTTCCAGAAATCTTACTGAAAAAAAGTATCTAAGGAATTTTCATGGAATAGTACTTGAGGGAGGTCATTTTTTGATTTTTCCAATAAATGGGAAAAACGGGAAAATTTACGAAAATAATATTTTTATTAATTTTAATTTTGTTTTTTTGTTTGTAAACTGTAGAAGCTTAAAACTTTAACAGAAACTTTGTATTAAATACAACTATGTTTTGCCTTTTATAAATGTGGTAAATTTTTCAATACATGTGAGCCATTTTTAAGCTATTAGACATTTTAATTTTGCTAGTTTTTTTATGTTAATATTTATTTATTAGGTACTCTAGATAAAATTGTTCGACCCAATAGAAATGTTTGAAAATTCAATAAGATATTCATTATAACTTGTTTTTAATGGTCAACAAGAAAAAGTTGAGTGTAATGTAATTTTTTTTTTTACAAATTTTGATAAAAATCGTAAATATTGCAACTTTTTAAATTGAACTGAGAGAGACACATCTTTCTCAAACATTCATTGGCCATATATTTATCAATAATTTTAAGATCGGGCTTATGTATTTAACAATAATAATATTTCTTCAAAGTTTGCAAGACGAACCATAATAAATACTTACATGCTAAGTAATGATTTAAATGTAAACTTTATTATAATTGTGTATTATTATTTTTATTCTCATCTTGTCATTTACTATTTGTTTAAATTGCTTGTCTAGGTGTTATAAATTATAATAAATAAATTTATTTATTTATTAAAACAAAAAATGTACAATCATGTTTGGACTATGAAAATTTTCTAAAATTGATGAATTTATTAATTGTTTATCTTTTTCATTACTAACTATAAATAAATAAAAACTGTTTAAAAGATTCAAATATAGATCAAAATTGGAATTATAATTTCCATTAGAAATAGAGAAAAATGATTTACTAAGTTAAGATCAATACCATTTTAAACAGTATTACATTTCTTACAGAAATATGTTAAATATTATTTTAATAAGAAAATCTAAACAATTACCTATACTTATACTATCAAAATAGATTACAAAGCGCACAAAGTATTCAAATAGGTAGGCACCAAACAAGTTTGGAATATTATTAATGAGGTCATAAGAAAACCTATCCATAATAATATGAATGACATTAATAATCTAATAAATAAATTGGATATTATTTCTGAATCTAAAATTGAGATTTGTAATGTTCTTACTAAATGACTATTTTGTAAATTTAGAAACTAGTTTGGAAACTGAGCATTTAAATTTTAATTAATTATTGTTCTTTACTGGTATTTGAAACTCTATATGAGTCTGTCGCCATCAATACTTTCCTCTATCACTCTCGATTTTGAACGATTTCTTTCTATTCTTGCACTCCCAGAGCTTTAGATCCTCTTTTACTACGGCTAGCCACTTATTTTTCGAGATATTTTCTTTTCCGGTTTCCATCTCATTCCATTCTCTAACTGCTTTGATGGTTTCTTCAGCGCTTCTCATAATATGGCCCAGCCACTGTAGGTATTTATTATTTGTCCTATTATGTGACTAGTGACTGGTGCAAGGCCTAGTTCTTTGTTAAACTTCCTCCTCCAAACCTAATTTAACCTATTTATTGTGTCACAATCTGATCCACAAATAATTCTATTTTATTTTCGAAAGTTTTAAGTCGTTTTAATGTCATAGTTGTCCATATTTTACATCCATAATTGAAAGAATATCTAATTATTGTCGTGTTTTAATTGTGTTTTCTTTGATAGAACTTTTGATTTAAAGAATTTTTAAAGTGGAAAAGAGCTCTTTCTGCCTATGCTATTTGCACGTGATCAATCATTCTTTGTACCAACCTACTAAGCAATACTTACTTCTAAACCTAAATATTGGAATTTTTAAATTTTTAAAAAGTTATGGAATCTTGGTCGTTTTGGTATGGTTCTCTGCCGAGAAGCTCTATCATTTTGGGTTTGGATTTTTCTACATTAATCTATACTCCTATTTTTGCTACAGTCCTTTGGGAGCCATGATTAAACCTAAAACACTGTCCTGCAGTGATTTAGTAAGGATAATCAGATCATCCGTAAAACCTAGAATCTGCACTCCGGTAATCATTAACCGATATCCCACTCTAATCATTCTCACAACTTTTACTATCGTTAAGTTAAACAGTGCGGGGATAGTGTGTCGTCTTGTTTTAAACAGGTTTCTTTTGTGCAATCCTTAATCAAAGTAAATAATTCATTATTACCTCAAAATAATACTTTTAAAAATAGCATATTTTTAAAACCAATTGAAACTGATGAAATTATTAAACTTCTTACAAAAATTAAAAAGTATGCCTATCACTTCTTTTTAAGAAAATGATTTGACTATGTACCTGCATAAAAAATTATCTAAATCTAAATCTATTTCCTTGTCATTAAATACATCAATAATTTTTAAAAAATGTACTATGATTTGATAATTTAAAGCAGAGGATAAATTAATACCTATATGAAAATTATCGATTTATTACCTACTTTCCCCTTAGCGTTGTCTAAAATGTTTGAATAATGTATAAAGGCCAGAAATGGTAAATTTCTCAAATAAAAAAAATCATTCTTTAGACATTATAAATAAATAATTTAATTTTTAGAACCGGATTATCAACAACAATGCACTTTTTGAGGTTGATAATTTTATTCGATAAATATTGGTATAAATTTTAAAGTATTGAATATTTTCTAAGAGTTAAAAAAAAGCTTTATATATAAAATCACTTTAAAGCGGCTGCACCTATTTGGCTAATCCTCTTTTTGTTGTATTTTGTAATTGTCAGGACAAGCCACGGTACATTTTTTTATTATCTATTTACCTAAGTACATTTTTTTTTTTATGGTATATCAATTTGGAGAGGAACTTTTAATAATTGTTTAAATAAATGGTTACTATTAATTATTGTTTCATTAAGTAAGTATTAAATTTACCTGTCACTACATTGATGCAATATAAGGCACAAAATGCAAACAATTTTAAATTTATTTGTAATTTCTTCGTTTTGATAGTTATATATAAACATAAATATTTACTTCCTAATTTCAAAAAAATATCAATATTACCTATTTATGCAAACGTTTTTAGGCAGAAAGTTTATTAAATATAAATATATTTAATTTTAATAATTTATAATGTCTTTGAAGAAATATATTATAAATTTGGATTTAGCTTAAATTAAATTGTAGTTTTATAAAATGTCATTTATTCATTTAATTGCTGATTAACCTTTAAATATTGTCTCTTGATACCATTTTAAAATTAATTAATTAATTATTTTTTATTATATTGTTACTTAATAACTTTAAGCAATGGTCCCTCAGCAGAAACTTAGTTGCAATATTGTATACTAATACTCTAATGTAAAATTTTCTGTTGCAAAATTTGTGTTTATTATAATTATTATTCAGAGATGCTCCTGAAACATCTCATGGAGAGTAAAGCTTTGGTTTCAGGAACAAAGTAAAACCGTGAGAGTTGGAATTTGGAGTTTGCCAATGAATTTGTATCTATAACCAACCAGTATGCAATTTAATAATGCTTAACTTGCAGCTATGTTTTGATATAGTCTTACCTAATTTTTAAATTTTCTTTTACAAGTAATAAATATGTTGTGTCTATAATATTTGTATTTATCAAGACAAATTAATTCATCCTATTTTTTTAAAAAAATGTAAGAAATAATATACCATCAAAACATTCCATAATTTATTTTCATAAAATTATACAATGTTATTGATTTATTTTTTAAAACACTTATGTACCTATAACTACTATTTGAAATAGAACTCAATATTTAATATTAGATGCTCGTTCTTAGGCTTAACGTACAGATTAAATTATGTTAAGTGCTGAGCACAGTAAGAGATATTGTTTATAAAATTAAACCATTAATACAATTATTAAATGATCAAAAAAATCTACTTATGTTATAATATACATCTCACAATGATGCAAACACAAAAACAAATTTTAATTAAAAATATTCGTTTCTTAGTTCTTGTTTGAAATTGGTCGTCTGTTGCAAATCTTTGACACGTTGTTGAAGTCTATACCAACACAATGGTGGTGAGCTGCGAACACAGACTGAACAAAAGGAATCTAAAATCTTAAATACCTATATATGTAATGATATATTAAAAAACTAATTAAGACTAAGAATGTTGATAGAACAATTCTGATAATAAAATATGTTATAGGAAATAATTGTAGCTAAACAAACTCTGATAATGTATAAGTATAAATGTAGCAATAGGATTGTATAAAGAGTAAGTTCATAACAAGCTTAATATTTGTTAATAGTAAAAATGTTTATTGAGGAATTGGGTTAGACTCAAACCAACTCTTTTTTATAAAGTTTGTTGGCTGTAAAACTTTTACTTTTGATAATACAAAAAAAATTGGAACACAACTAAGGAACTTACATAACTAGGTAATGAATGGTAACAGAAATGGGGTTGATGCATGGATTTTGAGCTGGGGAAAAAATGTTCAAAACATCAAAAAATACCTCATGACTTTATTAATTACTACATTAATAATACGTAGTAATTTTCTATTTTTTCAATGACCATTTCCATAGACATGCGAGTACTTAAACCAGAAGTCTAAAACCCACCTTGTCTTTATTAAAGGCTAATGAATAAATTTTAACCTGAGCATGCATTAAATGTTTTATTACAAATGTTGTCCCCGTTTTTTAAAATATTAGGTAGCACGCTGTCTAAAATTTTTAAAAACCCGTTTTATATAATTTGTATTAGGGTATGATATTAGATTGTGTATAAAATAATATAAATGAATATAAATAGGTATATATATACCCATAAAATATAGTTTAATTTAATGTTGTATATTTTAACAAAAATCAGTTAAATAAATTGTTGGTCCTGAAAAGTGTAGTACTAATGTATAGACATTTTTTAAAAATATGGTTGTATTTTTTGATATTTTAAAATCTTTTCTCCAAACCCAAGAACAATGATTCAACCTAAAAATGGGTCACAGCTGAGTAAGGATCAAAATGCAATAATAGTTTAATTAGGTATAAAAAAAAAAAAAAAAGTATAAATGTATAATTTTCATGTGTTATACTTTGTAATATGAATTGATAAAACTTGAGAAGTTTACACGTCTGTGGTGGTCTCAACTTTTTCCAGTTTGAAAGTGGAATAGTCAGCACAGTCTTTGGAAATATACAAACCATAAGCAGAAAGATCAGTGACAGCAGGTTCAATCACACGCATGTTATGCATGGACTTCTTAAGGTCTGTGGAGTAATAGCCGCTGGACATTTTGAACAACAAATCGTAAAGTGATATGGGTGGTGACAACGCTTTGCGGAATATAGGCATGACGTAGCAACGCTGTCCTTCGATGTCTACAATAGCGGTGATGTTGATACTGAAATCATGTATGAAACGAGCCGACTTGCTTATGACTAATGGAGGAGATACATCACTATCCTTATGGTTCATCTCAAAGTTTGAGTTTAACACTGAAATGACGTCAGGGATGTTTTTTTTTTGATCGACCATACCCTTATTGACAGCAATGTCACTCAATTTTTTATATACGTCTTCCATTGGGTCCAATCCAAGTCGCTGGTCGTAATCATTGTCCGTAGGAGAGGACGGCGGCATGGAAAACATTTCACTTTCGGCGTCGGCGTAAGAAGTATAAGATTTATACAACCTGCTACTGTCTCTGATGTCACCATCCTTTTGTTCCTGAATTTTTTCGATTTGGAGCTTCGAGTCCTTTTTCAACGCCTTGCACAGGAAGTTGCTGGAATACATCACAACAGCACCGAGTAAAAGTAGCAAGATCATGGTCCTAGTCACGCGAAACAACATTGTGGCTCTAATCTGCTTCTTTGGAAACTCATTTGAAGCACCGACAATCGGGATCGAAGCATCCCTAAGGAGTCCCGCTTCTCCCGACTCTATTTGCTTAGGATGGAATGATGACGGCGGTATTGAACGAGGCGACCCCTCGGTTGCCTGGTTCTTACTGTCGACATCGTCGACTAATGGCACTTTGTCGGCCTTAGTGCCGGTCGACGGAAACGTCAATACAGTCATTGTTAATAAACCGTTTAATGGGAAACTGTGGTTATTAATACGATGGGTCGCGCGACGGCAGCGAAGACAAAGGAAACGGCAACAATGGCGGCAGGCGATGGGCGACGGCCGAAGTGCAGTGAGAACGACTGTGCGGGTACGGAGATACGACGCGAATAGTGTAGTCAATAGGTCACGGCGGCAACGGTGAGCAACTTAGCAGCGGCCCGTTTATGCGTCGTAGGTAATCGCAGCCCGCGGGTAGCTCCCTCTATGTATGTTAGGAGGTGGTTTTGACATCGCAGAATGCCGGGGTACCGCGCCCGATGGAACTCCCACCCGCCACCATGTTAACCGATGGTATCGAACCGAACAACACTGTTCGTACATCCGAATATGATAACGCCGTTTTATGGTTTTCTAATCTAACCTCATATACGGATGTTTCGTTCTCGAGCCGGGAGATTCAAATTGTTTGCATCCTCTCGGCGGAATAGAACGGTTTTTTCTTTAAGTATTAATTTTGTTTATTCGTTTGTTTTCGTCACGTCCGCAACACAACAATAAATTTGTCAACGCGCGACCGATTAATCAACTCTATTTCAATACCAACAGTTATCGCAATCGTATTACATAGGTACCTACCGGGCTACCTATAAAAAATTAAAAATAATAATAGGGAACTCGCAAATATGATGATGATACGGTAAGTACACCTAATCAAAAATCGCTGCTGTATTATTTTCGTATTCTCGAGCATTCGCAATGGTTTTCCATAATCATTATATTTAATATTTTCAATATTATTATTATTATTATAGTATAGGTATACCTACCTAGGTACTGTAATATCTATAGTTCCCAGTGTTCCTACGAAATATTTAAAAATATTGTATTAATATTACTACAAATAGATTAACTTATGAAAAAAGCTGTTCTAGGATAATAGAGACGAGTACAACCACTGTTATAGGTAATTTAATGTACAACTCTAAGCAACGATAAACGATTACTACAGGGCCTAAAATACTGTGTCCCTTGACACACCTTGTGTCCCCTGAAAATCATAATGTATTCCCTGAGTTATAAATGTGTATCCCAAGTTTTATAACGTGTTTTTAGTTTAAAATGTAGAAATAACAAACAATTTCAACACTAATGAATCTTGTTTATCTCAATATAAATTGATAACAACATCCTTGTCATCCTTGTCATTAAAACTACATTTCGTGAAAACAGGTGTGCTCCGAGACCGACCCCCTTAATTCGGTTTGGGTGGGTGGGTAGGTGTTATCCTTAAAAAGGCTTTACCCGAGTGGTTTAAAAAAGGTTCAGCGCCACTGAATATAGGTACCGAATATACCTTGTGCTTATAAATATACTATGTACTATAGGTAAGTAGGTAATCTCGAATTTGTGATAATAGCTTGTAGTTATTATTGTTCTGATAATGTGTTCCAGCGGTGGTTTTTAGGGGGGGGGGTAATGAAGACGATCGCCTTTCTGGAACTTTTTTTTTTTGTTAACGTATATTCTATACATAAGCAACGATAAACCATTTCTAACGAAAATACGATTCTGATAGGAGTTCAGTTGATAGTTATGCTTTGTTATTATGTATCATATTATGGTAAAATAATTAAATAGGATTTATATATTTTCTTTAAAAATATTTGTTTAATATTGTACCGATAACTCCGTTTTTCCTGAGTTTTCATATTTGTTTGGTAAGAAAACTCTTGGAAAATTGATAAATTACCTCCTTAAAGTACCTCTCCAGTTAAATTTTCTTTCAAAAAAAGTACTATCATAAATCGGACAATCAGTAAAATTGTTTTATATTTTGTCTTCTATCATCTTAAAAAATTTAAAATAGTTTTGATAAATAGGCCATATAGAATCACTACTAGTCGTCGATGGTTTCACATCATCAATCGGAATTGGATCATCAATAAGTATCAACAATATCAATAATTTTCATCAAACCAAAAAATAGAACATAAATAACGATAGTTTTAATTTGCCATCGGTTGAAATTACAGCCAATTTTTCTGGAACAGTAAATTGGGAACTTAAAGATATACCAAAAACATTACTGATAAATGATGCCAATGCATTTAAATTAAGAAGCATTATACATTTTAAAGGAGGTGATAGAAGTGGCTTAAGAGTTAATTTAGGACACTCTTCTATGTATGTAAAAAGATTCAACGACTCCTGGGAACATTATGATGATATGAAAAATAAAATTACATTAGTAAATGATAATAGACTAGTTAATATTGAATTTCTATTATACACAAATTAAATTATTATTATTATAATATACTAATAAAAGACATTAATTTTAAAGAAAAAATTGTATTAATTAATTATCTTATATCTATAGTATAGGTTCTATACACTATCTCTTTTCAAAACTATAATTCGATTAGGATACTATGAAATAAACTGTATCATTTAATATAATATCAAATAATTATTTTTCTTAAAAATATTGTAAGCATATTTGATTTTATAATCAAAATTTTAAATTAATATTCATAATATATTATTATTATTATTATTATTACTAACTGTTTAAATACATCAAATATAATATCATTTGTTTGATCCTATATGCAAATTAATTATAAAATAATAATATATAAGCATATGATTATTAATTATAATATAATTTAATAGTTTTTTTCTCGAGTTTGGGAGTGGTTACAAATTCAGAAACAAAGGTTACAAATTATTACAAATTCCTTACTAAATAATGGCGTTAGTTTGTTTTTAAAATTTTAAAGTGTGGGTACCAAAATGATGGACCTTGATTACCTTTGCATTATATATTTTCTTTAATAATATTTGTTTAATATTGTACCTATTTACCCGTTTTTCTTCTTTTTTTCCTCAGGTTTTTCTATTTGTTCTTGAGAATCTAAAATTGACCTCTTTAAAGTACCTCCCTAGTCCAATTTTCTTTCAGAAAATGTGCTTTTAGTGAAAATCAGAGCAAAATTTCTGGTAGAGAAGTTGTATATAGAAAAAAAAAAAATTAACATCATTGTAAAACCATAAGCTTCTTCGTTTCATTTAGAATCTAATCATTGAGATATAATCAAAAAATAATCATGTTTAAATGTATTCATATAAATATGTGGATAAAAAAAAAACCAAAATCAATACTTAATGAAGTAAAATTGTAATTGTATTATAAAATTTAGCACATTTAGTATATGGTGTTCATGCCAATGAGATTCACTTGTTGGCATTTTATTTTGCATCCAACTAACTTTAATTAAAATTAGTGTTAGGTAATTAAAATTTATTGAAAATATATACCTAATTAATATTACTGAATATTATATTTAATTATAAAATGTGTAATTTATTTAATAGACAATTACTTATAGTATTTAGTTTATTTAAAGGTGTCAAAAATAGAGTGGTATTCCATTATATGAATTATATAAATGGACAATAAATATTTATAAACATTGTTGATCACTAATTAGTTGAAGAACAAACAAGATTCTCTCAGTGTTTTTAATTTGTAAGCTATGTATTGATACAAAAGAATTTAGCCCGTGCATTTTTAAGTTAAATTTATCAGTAGCAAATTTCTATGGATACCCATGATTGTAAAATATACACTTTCAAGTTTCAAGTAACTACTTACATAATATATTCCAATAGGTATATATTTAAAATATTTAAATATTATAGAATTTAATTGTATGCTTAAAACAAAAAAGTTAATAACCTGGATAAGTTGTTTACAATGTTTACAATAATTACAAGAATGGTCTACAATAAAACTGTCTGGTGTATTTTATGATTATAGTATAATTGTTATAAAATTATTAACTTTTATTAATTTCTTGTATTTGAAATTAATTTTGTATATTTGAGCATGAAAATGTATTCCTTTTCAGTAAGTATCTAATAATACTTTATTATTATTTATTAGTCAAATGTGGATCTAAGGTGAGTAGTACTTACTCTCAGTGACCCGGGGGACATTGAGGCAATAATGCTATTCCCGTTAATAAAAAAAGGACTATTATTGTGTTTTTTAGTGTTGTAATTTGATATTTTTTCAAAATGTGTCCATGTGTCTATTGTTAGTATGTTGTCAAAAATCGTCCAGTTTTATTTTAGATTTGCAGTGTATTTTAAATTAGTGTATTTTTTTTTTTATGTTAAATCCGATAGTCGATAAATGATAGTGTAACTAAAATTGAAAACTTTTTGAATTTTCGAATAATTTTTAATGATAATAATTAATAAGTTCAGAGTGACCACACATTATTAAAATATCAATATCAAACTCAGCAAACCCTTATTTTTCTAACCACTATAGTTTATAATTATATAATTATACCCAGTGTCTACAGTATCTTAAAATTGTATCCTTATTCCTTATGCTAATCGTTTTATTCATATTAATTTTTTTAAACATTTTTTTTTTCAATCTGGTTTTGTGCGTGGGAGACGATTATGTAGAGAAAAATTGTCATCCCTTTAATTATTGAACAAAATAACTTTTTATTTTATCAGTCATCAATTTTTAAAATTTTCAAAATATAACATTTTTTTTTTTTATAGAATATAATATTTTATTCATTTTCAATAGAATAACACATTACATCATAAGGAATCAGCACGGTAATTTTTTTATCTTCTATTGAATATTAATTGTTTTCATTCCTGTTTTCTATACATTTTAATCACTATAACTATAAAAATATTAACTGGATATCGGTATATGAATGCATGATACATTAAAATGTTTAGTATATTATAATATTTGAAAACTTAAAAAAGTGGAATAATAAAAAATTTTTTATTTTAGTAATTAATGGATGAAAATAAAAATAAAATAATTTTTCTCTACATATATTTCTGATTCGCACAGAATTCTAGACTATATATAGATATAATTACAGTACCTATCTATAAACTCATTACTCCGGGCGAATCACTTTGATTCAATTTATTTATTAATTTATTTATTTTCGTAAATTTTCCAATTTTTTTTTTACGTATTTCTTGGTTAGGTTAGGTAAGAATTTGTCATGTGGCATTTATTACTTTTCGGTTGGAACAAAATTTCTGGTAGAAAAAATAAGTTGCAAAAATTAAAAACAATGAAATTAGTAACACCGTAGTGTGCCACAAATATTTACTGTTCCCTATAATTTTTTTTCGGGTTTTTCCCAATTATTTTGAAAAACCTTAGAAAATCAAAAAATAACCTTAATGCACCAACTAGACAAAATTA